ACGACCTACCGCTGGCGTCTCGGGCCGATGCATCGAAAACAACGCGAAGTTTTGTGGTGCTACTATCTGGTTTAACAATGCAGTGATGTGGTATATAATATTTACCTTCTCCGAGCTCCTTCACGGGGACAAGCGTCATATGGCCACTCTTCTCATAGTCCTCCATGAATTCTGAATACTGCTTATATAACGTCGGATCGCGGGAGAGACGGTTCTCAATGGCCTTGAAACGCCTTAAAGCAAGACTACGAGAATTCTCAAACTTTGGCTCTATACCATCCTTAAAAGGTAACTGAACTCCGTATCTGCCTGTTGAATCACGATAATGGTCGGTGACATATGCCTTTTCACATGCCATATCTAGTGGTGTGAGAATTGATGCTTGAGGAACATTATCAATCTCCCAGAAGCGTTGAACCATAGAAGTCAGCTCGTCGGATTTGGCTGTATATTGTAATAAGGACGAGGATGTGAGGTGTGTTCTACCTAATAAAAGCCATCCAAAGACTGAATTCATCGCAACAGGTTGATTAGACCGACCCTTCATACATTGGTCCAATAGAGAATCAGCGAATATATCTGCACCAAGCAAAATATCGATAGGCCCAGGTATATCGAAACCTGGATCTGCCAAGGGTAACGATTGAATGTGAGACCAACCATTCGTATTAAGTTTAGCAATAGGCTGATCGCCACAAATAGTTGATATGACATGCATGTCAACATCGAATAAAACCTTGTTGTTTGATGCGAGTGAACAACGAACCATGTGACTAACATCTGCAGACACTCCACCTAAACCGTTAATATTTGCATCGCATGGTACTTGTTTAATATTTAAGGTTCGAGCTGCGTCACAAGTAATTAAATTGTTTTGGCTGCCAGTATCAAACAGTGCCCGAAAACAATGATACCGACCCTTTTCATCTACTATCTGCACTATAGCGGTAGCAAGAAGAACAGTTGTGTTTAGTGAAGATTTTGTACATAATTCGTAACCAGAGGCCTTGGCGATTAAGGACACAGAACGAGACGGGGTATCGGTAGATTGCTCTTTGTGAAGCAATGTGTGATGTTTATGTTTACATTTAAGGCATCGGAAAATCGACTTACACTCTTTTAATTGATGAGATGATTTAAGGCAGTTGAAGCACCATCTTTTTTCGTTTGCAACAGACATGCGTTCATCTACCGATTTTGATAGAAATCGCTTACAATGTGCAATTGAATGAGTAGCATCTGTGCAAAACGAGCATTTAGGCATAACCTTGGAGTTGTCATGCCGCGTTTCTCCAGTTTTTAGTTTATCATCCGAATGACTAGAGACTAATGTGTGAGTAACAGGACGACGTTTAACAATATTAGAAGGAGGCCTAATCGAATCCTTTACAACATGAAAAGCGGCTTTAGTAGCTTCAGAAAAATGATTATCTCGTATAAGCGCTTCACATCTTGAATGTAAAAACTCTTTTAAATTAATATATTTAGGAAATTCAGAACTACAACAACTTTCTTCGAAATCCCGGCGCAACTTTGATTCTAATTTCGATAGAACATGATAAACGATTATAAATTCCCATTGCTCAACAGGTAAATTTAACTTTCTTAAAATACTCAAATTCTCATCAATACTGTCCAAGCTACGACGAAAGTCATTTATATTTTGAATTTTCAAATTTACATTTAAAATATCCTTCCAACAGGTATAAGCTAATTCACGAGTATTCTGATAGCGCGCGATTAACGCGGCATACGCATCTGAATAATAGTCACCGGTTACGGGAAACACACGAATAAGTGACAACGGATCGCCGCTTAACGAAGAGATTAAATAATGAAATTTCTCAACGTCCGTTATGGAGTTACAATTATGTATAAGAGCGCTAAATGTATCGATAAACTCAGGCCACTTCTTTATATTGCCTGAAAAACTCGGTAATTGGATTTTCGGTAAGCGTACATGAGACAAAGGAGATTTGATGTTAGAACTCGTGCCAGCCGACATATTAGACGTGTCAGATAAATTCAATTCACCTCTCGTTAAACTACGAAGTATAGCCATGACTTGAAAGTATGCATCGTCAAAACGCGCACGTATGTCATCATCATCAACGCTGCCATCACACGAGTCCAAAAGTTCGAGTATAAAGAAATGCGCTTCTTCAAACTCAGACACAAACTTTTTTGCCTGATCGCAGTACGAGAAAAAAAGGTCACAGTGAACCTCATCGCCTTTTGCTTTCTTACCGATTTCCAATGCTTTTAACATACGATTTAATGCAATAGTACGTTTCCTTTTGAGAGATGGTAAGTCATGAACAGTATAGCATTCTGTTCCCGTCTGTTTTATCTTCGATTTACTAGAAGTATTAAGTTTACGGCTACTACGTTTTGGATTAAACGACATTTTGTAAAATAAAAAGAAAATATAATGGTTACGAGATAACTGTAATAAAGCAATATAATGTTATAAGCGAATAATAGTTATAACTACGTATAAGTTGTCTTTAACTTGCAATTCTCTAATTAGTCATATGCGCGTCTTACTGCGCGACGGTGGCGTGTATGAGTACAATGCAACGTAGGTATATCTTGCGAAGGAACAAATATTTAGATGTAAATACGTTGATTGAGTTTCGTTATGTTGTGAGTTAGTGAATATTAAATTGCTACAGCCGATTAAGATTATATAAACACCGTATAAATGTATAGATTGTTTATATTTGATCTGTAACTATCTAACATTCTACGTATAAGAAAGTGCACGAATCATCTGCGATAGGTAGTTATATTATTTAAACTGTATGCAGATTTTATAACGTATTATTAATAATAACGAACGAAGTTAAGTGAAAATGTGAACGTTGCAATTGAATGTGAATGATATTCAAAAGTGGTGAACAAGATGTCGGTTAGTGAAGGAGCGTATTAAGGTACAGTATTAAGTATGATGTATGAGACAATGGCCGAAAGTAGGTATAGATTATTTTTATATTTTATATATTACAAAAAAGTATGCTTTGTAATGTTGTAAAATTATGTATTATGAGTAATACTTTCGACTAGAGTAGGTAGTATACTTATTACTTTACGGACAAAAAATACCAGCTATATTAACGAATTCAAATACGGCAAGCGATATAACTAGGCACCTTTGTTCCCGGGTTTCGGCACCAAAAGATGTGGCGACACGGACCTGCCGAGGGTCCGGTGACGACACTCTGGATCAGAACAGGATGTTCTGCCGATAAAACGATCGGTTCAACGATATTCAAATGAAACGCATAATGGGCCTGGACAACAACAAGCACTTACCGGTCGTACTGTGGCAATCCAAGCCGAGGTGCCTGGTCGAGGTTTAACGCCGTATCTTCGTGGATGGCGGCGGAGCTAAGTTGGGCAGCCCAGCACAGACTTTGTGCTATAAGCTGGTATATGGACGCGACACTGTTCACACTATTGAATTCACTTCGAGTTAAGGGTTGTATGTGGTTCGCGTGTTCTCTTAGAGCAGGAATAGACGAGTGGGGCGTATTTTAAATAGAAAACGAATTTTATAGCGGCGCCTGTACCGGTAGCAACACATCACCATTCATTCCAGCCCGGAACCAATCAAAATGCAGTACGATCAGTATGTTCATTACGTGAACCTTGGTATTGGCCAGGTCCGCCGCGTGACATTCAAATAGGATTGAACCCAACGTAATTGAATGGAGAATGAACAAGACAAATAGAACAAATCCATATTTTTTCAAATTTTTTGTTTCTCTGTCTGTTTGTCTGTTTGTACGGGCTAATCTCCGAATCTATTGGACAGATTTAAATGAAATTTTGCATGGTCGTACCATATATCCCCGGGCAACATATTAGATACTTTTTATCCCGGAAAATTAAATAGTTCCCGTGGGATAGTTAAAAAACTATAATAACGTATACATTGATACAACTTATGCACCTAATTTAGTAAAATTTAACATTCTGATACCTTATATTTCCGGTCAAACAACAGGTTACTTTTCATCCGAGAAAAATGAACGGTTCCCGTGGGAATTAACAGATCTCTATTAGTGTTTTTCTAGAGGCGAACCCGATCGAAGCGAGGGTGAGCTGCTAGTTTTAAATAAAACTATCTTTTCGGATTATTAAAATGCTTTACTGCAATCAAGATCACAAGAGAGATGTCTTTCCCGTAACCATGGATACTGTAAAGCATTCGAAACGTCGGGAACCAAAAAATCAAAATAAATCCGCGAAATAATCCGAAAAGATAGTTTTATTTAAAATTTCAAATATTCGCGTGAATCTAAGAAAGTATTCAGTTTTATCTATGATAAGAAACCTATAGACATATATAAAATCGATATGTGTATGTATTTTCCCTATGGATCCCAAATCGAATGGAGCGATTTTGATGAAATTTTCAGGCAATCTTCAGATTAGCCCAGACTGTGATCTATGAAGTCTTGTAGCGATCGGAAGTTTGAACACGGAAGAAATCGCGGGTAGTACAAATTAACAAGTAGATATACATATTTTTGAAGTAGCTGAGAGATTTTTTTTCTATAATAATTGCTAATAATATGCGTTTAAATATTGATTATTTCCACAAACTATTTGATAATATAATTGTAGTATTACAAATTTTTCTTTTGTCGAGGGGCGAAGAGTCGCGTAATTACAGCGTGTGCTACGTTCCGTATCGTAAGAACCGTCTTTCGTCCGATAGCGCAACCTAACATTAAACAACACTACTAATTGCCCACTCGAGCACTGTCACCGAACACTTGCTGCTATCGCTCAATTCACACGGCGACTCTACCATAGAGCTGTAATTAATACTTTACTTCTGAGTTCTGGCTGTTCAATGGTCAAGTTATGTATTTTAATCGCAACAGAAAAATAACTTCCGCATACATTCCTCCTACAAACACTGTTCCATTCGGAAAAGTATTTACAGAGACAACAAAGTATGTCAGTCGAGTGGAGGAGGTCTTGAGGAAATGCACCTCTGCTTAGAAATGTACGAAGTCGTTTTTGAAAACAAAGCGGAAATAAAACCTTGGATTGAGAGCTCTCGAGCCTTTCTCCACGAGGCCCCTCGACGCAACGCTCGTGCCGACGCGCGACGCCACTCGCGGCACTCATCAGGCGCTCAAATTAAGTTGAACCATGTACGGAGGTACTCTGGTTTGCGAAACTTCCTTGTATCCATTTATATGTAAACTTTACCATGAACACGTATAAAAGAGGATGTTGAAGTTGCATCGTAATGCTCTAACATCACTTAACCACATACTCGTAGGTACAAAATATAGAAATGTTCGTACACGAAACATATTAAAAATGATTTACGTTTAAGTTTTTAATATTATTAAAAAATAAGTACAAAAGTTGTACGTATATTACCTTGAATAGGAATATTCGTAGTCAGGTTGTTCACAACACCGCGCCTCTATCCGGCACAGCTAGGATCGAGATAAATATTTGAATGTTCATTTATTATGTTTTAAATTTAAAACAAAACTTGACTTAATATGTAAAGACTTATGTTCAATTTTAATCTCAAACTAAACAACAACTAAGCTCAGACTCAATGAAACCGACACACTGAGCCAACTCGTCAAAGATTTTTTATGAATATTTTTTTCTAACAACATTTTCTATAAATATTTATTTTCTTAACAATTATATTAATCGAAATAAGCAAATAGATAAGTTAGTTATAATGAAAGCTCTGTTAATCATAATTTCAAATTGAGTAACATAATGTTAAAATATTTAAAACAAGAGTAGGTGCAAGCGCGCCAGTGCGACGTATTATCATGCAAAGTTGCTTACTACGTCGAGTTGCCTCTGAGCGTCGTCGGCACAACTTTTACTGTCTACGACCAAATTAAGCTCGTCTTTCGTAGATATTGCCAAATCTACAAAACGTACGTTGCATTATATTATACACAAACGATATACCAGATGCATTTAGATAATAAAACTAAATTTTAACTTATACCTAATCATAAGGTGCATGTAACAATATTACCTATATTGTTTCAATAAAATAGTCAATATTTCAAAACCTAAAAATTTGGTTTTACATATTAGTATACTCTTACAATGCAGTTTTTGTATTTTTTCTCAGAAATGAGATATTTTCGATAATAATGAGATATTACGATAAAAAGTATCCTATATGTTGACCCGGATAACCAGCTACCATCATACCGAATTTCATAAAAATCCCTCCAGTGGTTTTTCCGTGATGCGGTAACAGACAGACAGACAGACAGACAGACGGACGGACGGACGGACAGACAGACAGACAGACAAAAATTCTAAAAACTATAGATTCGGCCTCTGTATTGATAATAATGTCTATTTCAATAAGATTTTCCAAAAAATATTCAATGTACAGATTCGGCTTAGTTACAATTTTTTTATATGTATAGATAGAACAACATAATATGATTTCGTGACTTAGTTACTTAGATATTAAGTCACTTAGATATCTCTACCATACTAGATAGTACAATGGACTAACCTACATAAGCTTTCTGTAAAGTGCGTGACGATGTGTTGTCGATACAGGGTGTCACGTATAACTTTTTAAATTACAAAAGTATAAAAGAAGGCGTAACGTTGGACACGTCATGCTATTGTTAAATAATATTATTATCTTTCTCCAAAATGAAACGAAAAAGAACTGAATTACTTTATTTTTAAACGAAATTTTTATAAAAGACAACCACTAATATGGGGTTATTATCCTCATGGTTGTATTTAGAACGACATTAAATCGGCCCTAATAGGGTTTTGATAGGTGTCGGTGTGATTACTTCGAAGTTAAAAAAAAGTAAAGTTTTTAAAGGCATAATGCCTTATGCCTTGTACATAAGTATATATAATTACAACTTGGTTGAATTGCTTTGATAATGTATTTCTGGATAACAATTTAATGAATGGTTATCTACACAATAATATACTAACTTTACCTGTGAAATTTAATCTAAATATTAGAATTTACAAGATAGTAAAAAAAATATTTTTATGCATAATAATATTATTTAATAATTAACGTTTTATTATTTATATGAATAAATAACAAACTTCGTATAAATAACAAACGATGCGGATGTTGTAGCGCCAAGTTCTGAAGAGCGGACTCGTGACAAACAACAGTTAGCGACAATAACAACACAACTTAGGCCATTAGCATGCTTTATTTCTTACTTTACTCTTACCATTTGTTTCGCCCCAGTGAGGGGACTCCTCGACTCTTTCCATCGCGGACCCGAGATGCTGTAGTGAGGGAAAACAAATCAAACACGATGGTCGACAAGTAATATCAATTCTATATTTTTAGGATTATTTAGTATTATTAAAATTATTATTGTAAGCCCAACATAATATGTTTCTTTTCTTTATGTATTGTATATTAAATGTATATTTTATTTCTTAAGTTGAATACCACTTATACATATTGTTGCCCAGTTATAAATTAAAAAACAAATTAATAAACGAAGTAACAACGACGCCGCGCTTGCACCGTATTATGTAAAATTTCTCAACTAAAGCCCTCAATTTTCACAAGAAACTCTTGTAATCCAAAGATTTCTCCAACAATATTTTCATTACGCACTTTAGGAACCCTCGGCAAAAAACAAGATTACTTTGTGAAGTATGAAGCGAAATGGCGCTTAGTCGGGGCTAACTCAATTTGCGCGCAATTCAGGCGGAGCCGCTCCGGGCCGCGGCGGGTCGCACTCCGCGGCCTTAGGATTACTCGATTATCAAAATTCACGGAGAGTGATAATGGCCGATAATGCGGTGCTGATCGCTGTGTCTGTGTCAGCCGCCCGCGCGACCGCCGCCGCCGTTGCCGGTGCCTGCCGCCTGTCGACAACCGCCTAATGAATTTGTTAAGCCGTTACAAAAAGGATTACATAATTTATATATTTAAATTAGTAGCAGTACAGGCTGCCAATCAGAACAGTGTGAACTACCCGGAGTAAACGGTAATTTACTGGTCAATAAATTATCGCTATTTATATCTTTACTTAGTAAAATTAAAAAAAACATTTAGAAGGATAATTTTATTCAATTACTATCATAAAAATAAGAGCTGTAATATAATGTCTGTAATATAATCAACCATATATTTTATATCTCTAGCACCAGTGATGCACATTGGCTCAAACCGAATATACGTACTTAGTACTTATATAATTAGTACATATATAATTTAAAAAATACTTAGTACATATATAATTTAAAAAATACTTAGTACATATATAATTTAAAAAATCGAATCAATTTCGGTGCCGCAACTGAATGTTATTAGGGCAATAGAAAGCGAGCGCGAAGGCAAACAGACATAAGGCCGCGACCCGCGCCCGGCTTCGCCGTGCCAAAGCCGACTTCATCCATTCTCTACCAAGACCCCCGTTACGTGACCCGAAAATTGCTACAACTTTGTTCTGATTAACGAGAGAGCTCGTTACGGTAGTTTTTCATAAAACATCTTTACTATTAATTATATTTTTTTAATAAGAAAAAAAATATTTTTTTCCTGAGGCTGATCACAAAATATTTTAAATTTATTGTAAAATATTTTCAATATTTTTATTAAACATCTTATAACGAACACGAAACTTGACTTATATTTTGTATTGTATGTTGCTACCAAAAATAAGAAAATACACCGAGCCAGTGTTCTGATTGCAAACAATGTCTCGATATAATCAGAGGCGGGAGAGTTATTTATTTGCAATTAATTTGAGTAGGACTGAGTAGGGCGGTCGCGCCTCGACGCACTCCCGTGTGTTTGTTCACCGACTTGTGGAGCGACCCAGCCGTGTGACCGAGACCCGAGTGGTGTCTGCCAATGTAACGTTCAAACATTTAACATCCTTAATATTTCACATAGATACAATCAAATTTCTAACATTTACGTCATTTCTCCTATTTATTTATTTATTTATTTTTAATTAGATTTGCTAGAGGTTATTACATTTTATACAAATATCATTTAAGTTAAATCAATTAAATAGAGCGCAATTATTATGCACAACAGTTTAAAAGCAAACACAACTTGCACATTCTTGTATCCGTTTTCACAATTATAAAGATTTCAAAAACATAGTAATAATTAATATGTATTATAAATGAAACATTAGGTTAAATAAATTAAATAAAAATATGGCAACAATAACAATTTAAAAATGATAATTAATTATATAAACATCTATAATTTATAATGTACATATATAAATTATGATAAGGTAATGGCGATTGGTCGTTTTCTACTATAAATTTATTTATTTATTTTTATTTATGGCATAAATCTATTATAAAGTTATGTATAAAGCAAAATATTGTATTAAAATAAGATGATCCTTGCGGAATGTTGACAACACTATAATTTTCGTGCAATATACTTATATCTTACAAAATATTATTTACTTGTGCCATAAGGCCTAATACACAGTATTCTTAATTTGTTGCGAAAGCGAGCCTCAAGTTCAAGCGCGGAGTACTTCAAATGATAAAAACTGTTTGCGGACGTAATTGAATGTGAAATGAGTTCAATGAGGGCGGAGATCAAAGAGACGCCGCGGGCCGCGTTTTGTATGGCGTCTTAATTCATCCCAGAGATGTGCGGCCCCCCGCAGCCTCACTCCTCACGCTCACAAAGCGTTCAAGATTTTGTTACAATTTAGAAAAAAACGTGTAAACTTTGTACTTTCTCTTGATTCCTCAAAGAGAAATACAAATGAACAGAATAATAAATGTTTCTAGTGTTTCAATTATATAACGCTGGGCTTTGAAGTGTTCAGCGTGGTAGGTAGGTAGGTAGGTAGGTAGGTAGGTACTCAATGTTTTGGTTGTTTTTTAAGAAACAAAATGTATGCGTACGTTCGAGCGTACATGTTTCTGGAGATTATCCGGATTATCTGCGCACCGCCGGTGTCGCGTTTTTGCACGCGCTGTCTGTGAACGCCTTTACATACTAATGCTTATTGCTTACCCCATTAACAAAATATGAGTATAACCTCGAATTCAAATCTGCTCTGCATTTTTCCGCTCCTCAATCATGTACCTACCGTTTAATTTCTTGTTCCTCTTTTTCTATATTGTATATTTATGTTTAATCAATATTACAATACAACAAATAAAAGAATACAATACAATATATCATGTTAATAATTTTAAGACATATAGTTTGGTTATTTAGTATAGGAATGCATACCAACTTAATATTGCCAGTACGTAATTTTCTTATTAACTTTACGTGGCAGAAATTGAAGATGTTATCTCTTACGCATAATTTTTATACTCTCTAGTCTCTACACTTACTATATTTTATTTATTAGGACGCGCGAAGCGAACTCTACACTATCCCACAATCTGTGCATTTTTGTGATACACTTTATTGAGAAACTATCACACTTTCAGTTTTCGGCTTTGACATAGTATTTTCTATTCATGTCTAGATGTGTTGTTAATCATAAAAAATATTATTTTATCCACATTTACAAAAAAATTGTAAATATAACAATTTTCATTATTTAGATTTTTATTGTATTACAGTATTACTAACGCCATCTGTACGAAAACTAAAAAAAATATTAATTTTATTTTCAATTTTATACGAAAAATAGTTATTACAAAATTTGTGTGAAATAACATTTACTACAATTGTAATAAGCAAAGTTGTTTAAAATCAAATTTATTACAATTTTGGTCCTTATCAATTTTTTCCTAGGATCGATATTTTTCGATTTATACCCGAATAGAGGGGGTGAATTTTTGTTTATTGAACAACTCGTTTATTTTCAATTTTACGCAAAAAATTGTAATAAACAAAATTATGTTCTGAGCCTAGGAAAAAATTTATGAAAACCAAAATTATAGAAAATTTAATTTCAAACAACTTTTGTAGTAACTATTTTTCGTGAGACGTTTTATAGACTTCCAGAACTAGAACAAACTTCTTAGTTTTATAGATTGTTATTGTTATTTTTAATTGGATGAATTAGAAATGAATAAAAACGATTTGTCGTATGAATTATTTACAGAAGCATAAATTAAGAGTTAATTCTCGTAAAAAAAACTGTCTGCAAAATTACTAGGTAGAAAACTTCGCGAGCCCTCCTAAAGCACCGCTTTTTTGCTAGTTAGTAATTAATTATCTACGAGTACTATTTAACAAATTATGTTAGCTTGACTGTTTTATTATTGTAAATATGAGTTCAAATCAATTTTATAGTCTAATAATCGTATTTCATAACATTAAGTATTAATTCACTAAGGATTTTTAATCATTGGTCACCCGCTTGTATCACTCAGTCAGTCAGTAGGCTGCAGTCAATCAACTGAAATGTTAACAATGAGAGATGAGAGGCGGGTGACCTGCGTCAAAGCGTCAAAGCGACATCTGTGTCGCGCCCGGCACGAGGCAGGGGCAGGCATTATTAACTTATGATGGACATGTCATCACTAAATTTCATTCGAATATTTTGTTTAATAAAAGTATTTTAAATATAATTTATGTCATAAAATTTTCTTTAATTCTAATTTTATTGAAAATAAGTAATAACTGATCACACTAAAAGGGATACGTACTAAGTGACCACTATAGACTTTGAACCTGTGACCTCAGACAATGAAAGAGATACTGAGACTACTATGTCAGACCAACGTATAAATTTAGTAACGATGTGCATTTTTAGTAGAAAACATGGCGGGGATTGCCAATGAGTGTACCGCAGTAACAGAGACCGGTGTCCGACGGGGGTGTCTAGACGAGCAGTTTACGAGTCGTCCACCATCGCACAAATCTCATACTAACCGACCTCAGCCGTCATAAAATACGACACACGTGACACGACTGTTCATTATCCAGCAAAATGTTGTGTCGCTAACTCAGACTGTTCCGCCAAACGTCGCTTTGTAGAGAAAGCGAAGGGCTCCTCCTGCCATAAATTCATTCTGATTAACTAAATTAGTACATCACAAACACTCGTGCTATTTATGTTTCAAGCAAAGCCTGCGTCTAGCCTGACTTGGTAATCAGCCTGACTATAAGCTAAATCAGTTACTAAGCAAATCAGCAATTTCAGAGTTAAAAAAGGTACAAAACCAACATAAACAAGGTTATATGTACTGATATATGTATAGCTATTATCCTTATTTGTACTAAAATATTTCTTGCCTTTCATGTGTATATATATATATATATTTATATATATAATATAGTCATTTTATTTATTTGGTTAAACTGATATTATTATTTTATTTTATTTATTTATTACTTATTATCATATTATTTATATTAGTTACGTATACCTAATTTATATATTTTATATATACGTATATAAAATATCATATGTATGTATATATGTATTTATCATTTTTATTTTTCTTATCTCTGTTATTTGTTCACACCCTTCCACTTCACACTTTGCTATATCCTACACCTAAAGGTTGCCTGGAAGAAATCGCTGTTTTAGCGATAAGGCCGCCTCTTGTGCATTTTGCTACTACTGTATTCTTCTTTTTTTTTATATTTCTTCCTATGTAGTGTGTGCAATAAAGAGTTTTTATTATTATTATTATTAAAACCTCAAAAGGTAAAAGGAACCCTTATATAATCACTCTCTTGTCCGTCTGTCCATCTGTCATTACCGATTTTCTCAGGAACGGGTGAACCTAGCAAGTTAAAATTTATACCAAATACTCAACACGATAAAAAGATATGGGCAAATTTAGATTTTCCGAAACTAAGTAACAAATTTTACCTTAATTTTCAACTTTTTCATTTTCCGGAATTTTCCCTTTACTTGTGCTCTAAGACCTTGCTTTTTGCCAAATTTCGTGATTCTAGGTCAACGGGAACTATCATAGGTGTAGGTTTTAATTAATTAACTTAGGAAGTTTGAAGTGTGACACAACAACGCGTGGCCGGGTCTGCTAAATAAAGCATTTAAAAGATAATGTAGCGAAATATCTATCTTTTTGGAATCGGTTTATTAGTTTCGAAGATAATCCCCTATACACAAACTCGATTAGCTCATACCTTTTTGTAATATTCGTATAATTAATGTAATAAATTATTTTATCTACTAAAATGAAAGTCTCACCAAGCGTCTTAAAGTTAATTTTATCGTTTGAACTACCAATAAGTTTAATTGCACGCATTGATATTATTAAAATAAAACTCATTATTAGCCTACGAATAAATAATAAGTCAGGAAATGTAACTGCGTTAAAAAAATGACCCAACAAAAGTCGTGTCCAAGTAGGTGGGGCTTAAAAGTCGAGTCCAGCGCATCATCAGTCTGACTTTATTCTTACAAGGGCGCACATGTCTTTGTCAAATTTCGCGTACGTTTAAATTTTTATCATTATGAACTATATCTGTGAATCATAATGTCAGCATCTTTGTCAAGTCATGCAGGAGCCATACAACATTAAAATGTCCAGGAATCTTTTAACTAGCAAGTAGTAGCAAAATTATAATTATATTTATTAAAAGATGTTCAAATGACAAATACGTTATCAAAGCGTGATGGCCAATGCTATGCAAAATGAAGTCAAACTATTTTTGACTTAATTTAGAAAGTTTTTTTTTCTTCTTGTATTTTGCTTATTTTGTTTAAAATACCGCAGTGCCAGTTTGTATAGTACGTACCAACTGGTTTACTATTAAAATAATTACGTTATTATATCAAATCAGAAATTAAGTGGTTTTTTTACGTAGATGATTTGCCCCGAAGAAACGTCGATGTCTTTAAGAGATACCACAGAAAATGAAAAAATTACCAATATTGAACGATTACGGTTAATGTGTAATGTAGTCGGCTTTTTCGACTTATGGGAATAACTGTATTTTAATCATACGTTCGTTTTGGTTTGAAGTGGGGCCACTTTTCGTATAGAATTTGTTCTTAATTAGACTTCCTGACTTATTATTTATTTGTAGATATTAACCAAAATTTAAACTGTAACAAATGAAAATCACTTATGTCTTGAGCCAGCTACTTCTCCTGCAGGCACGCTGGAGGCTCGTGATAGACAGACAGGCGGACCGACAGAGAACAGACAGCGTAGGCCCCTTATTATATCTAACAAATTCTTGTTAATGAGAATACTAGAGGAAAAGTGAATGCAAAATTATACTTTAGTAATATAATAAAAAAATCTTACAATATCAATTACGCATCGCGTATTTTTGATATTTTCATATATTTTTCAGTAAAATATAAGAGGTACTTTAAAGTAAGTCGTAAATGAATAGTTGCTTTAGTATTTTTTATATATTTCTATTCACATTCATAGGGCCATCGAGGCCTAAAGTAGCCGTTCACTAGTATCATGGCTCTTATAGTGATCAGCACTTTTTGATAATATGCGGTTAGAGGGAATAATTTCCGCATAAAAATAAAAAGCCAGGTAAGCAAGGGTACGCGTCGCATTAGGGCTAGATCAAAGTCTGAGTGACTGTTTGGCTATTTGTTCGGAGCGTGCGAGAGTGCTTAGTGCTCGGGTGGAGCGCCCTCGAGATGACGTCACAGAGACGCCGGCGCAGGTCCCTGCATCGAGTGCCCACTTCAGTCTCGTGATCTGCACACCACTATGCTACTTATTCAATATCCGTCCCGTTAGCCATTACCAATATACTATAACTAAAGAGTGTATATTCAACTTATGATGTTACTTATGGTGCGATTTTGTTTTATTTCGTGTGAATAATATAGAATATGGTAATTTCAGGTCCTCCAGGGCCGCCCGGCAAGCGCGGTAAGAAAGGAAAGAAAGGAGACCCCGGCGAGCCCGGACCACCGGTACGTAGTATTCTGATAGAGTATTAGATACTTATACGATATATATGTACATATACAAGGCTAGTATAGATTTCTCAGAAATGACATATTTTGCTGCAGTAAAAAGTATTCTATATGTTGACCCGGATAACCATCATCATAAAAGCAATCATCATACCCATCAAATTCTGTCCAGTGGTTTTCTCGTGATGTGTTCCCAGACAGACAGACATACGAAAAATCTAAAAACTATAGATTCGGTCTCTGTGTCAACAAAAATGATTCTTTCAATAATATTTTCCAAAAAAATATTTAATGTACACATTCGACTCAGAATTTTATAATATACTCGTACGTAGAAATAAGCTAGATATGTTATTTTGTATTTACGATGTATTATGGAAATATGCTTGTATTGTTGTTGAACTTAATATATTTATGTTTTGTTACATCTGATTTTGTTGTTTCGCTTTTTCATTGCTTAAATATGTTTTATTTGCTTTCTTTGCAGGGGTTAATGGGAGCGCCGGGGAAAAATGGATTCCCGGTATATATGTTTTTTACATATTATTTTTCTTACTATTCTTTCTATTTATTATTTATGTAGTATAATTACAATACTAAATAATTTTATTTCCACTGTTTCTAGAATTATGATTTCCTTCATACCTATCTAGTAGTATGCTATAGTATGTTATGTTAGATCTTAATGGTAAGTCAAGGTTAAGATAGACCTAGACACTTTACAACGAAAGTATGAGACTCGAATATAGTTGTCAATTCGAATATAAAATCTTTTTTCCTATTTACAATACAGAATCAACACTTATAATTGATTCATTTGGTATATGTTGTACTTGGGAGCCTTATCTAATAGTAGGTGTGTGGTGCAGCTCAAAGATACGGATTGACGTTTCAGGGGAGCAAGGGCGAGAAAGGCGAACGCGGTTTTATGGTAAGCGCCGGCCGCAGCCGGTCCCCGTAGTGCCGCCCTAGCCGTACCCTAGACGTACTCTAGCCGCTCACTAATCGTACAGGCTTTCACTGCTGCCCGAAACTCTATTATATTATATAACTCTATTATATTATATAACTATCCTACGATTTCTCTCAGTCAGTCCCAAAGAGCGTCGACCTTAACATGATAATCAAAGAGACGACGGCAGCTGTGAGGAGTCTTCCAATTTAACAGCTGTCCAGTAGAGCCTCCGGGCGAAAGTTGCGTAGTCCTGAGTAGATCTAACGTAGTGTGGTTTCACTTTATTAATATCCGGGATGTTCGTTGTGTTTGCTCTTTATTATATAATCAATAAAAGTTAACTGCATTTTTTTAAAAGTATACGTAATATTCATTGGGATTCCTTACTCTACATATCTGAGGTACAATGGAATATTCTATTTACGATTAACCTCTTACGGAATGTGGTATCTATATTTTTGCTTAAATATAACTTTTCTTTCCTATCCTTAACACCTATTTCTAATATATTTTTAATAACATTAATAAGTATTCCTTAAAACTTAAAAGTCATAATGTAGTAGGTAATTTTGTATATATATTATATTAAAAAAAGAAAACTAATATATATTCTCTTATTCATTGCACCTAATTATTAAACTTTATCTTATCACCTTTACAGGGCCCCATTGGATTGGATGGACCCAAGGGTGATCCGGTAAGTAAATACATGTAATATTATTAACGATTCAAGTTAACATTAAAAAAATCGTATGTAACAAGTGAAAATTAATTTTAAAAAATATGAACAAGTGGATGATATTGTGATTACATTTTATATCTGCATCACTTCTTTATTTCTCTAGTGTAATGAATAATTTTTAAGCCTCAATAGAAAAAGAAGAAATTTAAAAAGAACTACTTTAAAAGCCAATTACGTACAACATTCCAGGGCCGAGCGGGAGACAAGGGTCAAAAAGGCGAGCACGGCAGTCCTGGATTTGACGTCTTCTCAGCGGTGAAGGTATTTCTTAAATATTTCGTTGTAATATTTTTTTGTATATCATATTTTTTACGTCTGATAATAAAATGAAGTGTGACCGAGTGTATAGGTAAAGATAGTAAAGTGAAGTTTTTTATCAAGTTGTAAAAGGAAATAAAAGTTTGCAACTAATATGAAATGTTCAATGAAATGGCGGTTACAGGGTGTGAAAAGATCTGTGGACAACTTTAAGATGAGCCCCTACACCACCGCCGAGATCATAGCCGTGAAGGTACCGCAGCCTCTGTGCCGCATGCTCTAGTGCGACGACGGCTTTATATACGTCGCTTTTGTTTGTTTCGGGCAGTGGATACGTTTTAGGGCTTTAGTTATCGAACTTATTTTGCGCTTATGTTGAAAAACGTTTTTATATGGATTATTTAAACCATCTTATTATTTTGGAAGTAGCTAGTACGTTGTATATTTGTTACATTCATAATTAGCTGTTTATTTTTTGTTTATGATGACATTTGAACTTATCTTTTGCTGTTAATGACAAAGTGTTACTTTACTATTATAATTAATTTACAAACACTTGACAATGAGAGGTACCGAGATTTGGTTCAAGTGTCGTCAGCTTGTGTGCGCGTGCGCATGTACTGATGCGGTGTATCCGCAGGGTCTGCAGGCGGCCGGTCACAACATCTCCGCGCAATCCATCATTCAACTAAAGGTGAGACGCGTCATCCTCTTACTCATCCTCCCCGACAGGTCACTGTGCTTTCTTTTTACTTCGAAGCGACCACCGACCATTAATATTTTAAGTGTCTTAAGCAGTAAACCTTCTGATCATTCTTGCATCAGCGATTTTAACTGACTCGAATAAATGTTAATATGATCACATTAAATACAGTTTAATATTGTGGAAAATCTTTCTGTGATTGTATATATCACCGTCTCATTGTCTACAGACACTTCGTGTCATATACTTCACAATTTATATAAAATCCAATAATTGTACTTGTGTTCCTGTAAACTCAATGTAAAAAGCAGATTATAAATTATGCTTCCATCATCGTCGTCACTACCCCAAGATGTTTACTTTAGACCATTTCATTTTTTAAGTAATTATATTTAACATAAATAACATGAACCAGTTTCAGGCTGGCCTTATATTTCATCTTATATATACATCATTTTTATTTTATGACTGCATGCTTTCTACGCTTAGAAAATCATGTAATTGTTAAAATATACAAGTAATTACTGCATGAGCGTGCAACGTTGTGTCTATAAGTTGTTCCTAGGATAGAAACTAAAGGAATCGACATTTTTATATTGTTAATAAATATATATTTTGTATCTATAATTTGGATCTAAAATCATTATTATACGATATACTAGAGTATAAGTTCTAAGTACCTACTTTGAATTTGCCAAAAGATTTACTGAACATAACGGTTGTTATGGTCAGATGTTAAATTACTGAAAAAAATATCAAAATATTTTTTTTAAAGAAATACAACATTTCGATTAAAATTTTAGTGTGATTTAATAACTCAATAATTTAATTTTATAATATAAAAAAAAATTGCTAAGTAATATTACTTTCTAAGGATAATATACTACCGTAAAGTTCATAATACATATGATGTTATGTGCAAAGGGTGAGCCAGGGGAGCCAGGTCCTCCAGGGCCGCCTGGACCTCCTGGCACGGAGGGGATAGCGGGGGCGGAGGGTCGAGTGGGCCCTGCCGGAGCACCTGGTGCATCTGGTGCCCTGGGTCCCCCTGGGCCCGTCGGGCCAGTAGGGCCGGTTGGGCCACCTGGACCTATTGGACATAAGGTACATTACCACTACTATTCTCGATAGCATAAATTTATTTTTTATATTTTTAACAGAGCAATAATATTTAATTATTAGTAGAGTAAATCATATTGGCGAGATATTTTGGTTATAAACATTTATGATTTACATATATATTTCAGGGAGACAAAGGCGACAAGGGCGAGCGTGGCTTCACGACGACACTGAAAGGCGACTCCTTCCCCACCGGCATCATTGAGGGGCCTCCGGGACCTCCAGGACCTCCCGGTAACCATTGCTTTATACTCACACATTGTTCAAAGCAGTGAATCTTGGTCAAAAAACGGAATACTATAGTTTTCCTTACTCATGTAACCATGGTTAATCAGCGATTTCAAGAATAATTGGGAAGCAAGGAGTTTTACAAAATCGGCATGTTCACTGCCAGCTTAAAGGGTGAAGTTGAAGTAGAACACCATACTAATGAAACTAATACTAGTATTTTTTTAATGTAAAATGTGGTTGTGAAATACACAAGCTTACGCTAGCTTACAGTGGCTTTCGGTATTTTTTTATTTTTTGCTATTTAATATAATAAAGTACTAACTACAGCAGCACTAGTGAGAATTTTTTTTGGCTTTTTGTAAAAATGTATATACTAGAGAAGATTACAATAAAATTAAAAGAAATCAGTTTGATTTAACAATAAAAATCATTCTTCATCACCGATCTTTAGGTGTTGAAATAGTTATCATTATATAACAACTTACTGTTATTAGATACATATGTGTGTCTAATGCGACTCTATAATATGTAGTGGGTTGTAGTAGTGAGTGTGAGTGTGTTGAAGGAACGGAAGGCGCGCGCGGGGAGCGCGGCGTGGCGGGCGCGCCCGGCCCGCCCGGGGAGCGCGGCGCGCGCGGCAAGCGCGGCAAGCGGGTAACTGCCTTTCTCGGCTACCGTACCATACTATCACAGTGTAAAAATTCATACAGTAGACGATTCCCCATTGATTTTAACGGAAATGCCGTCAAATATGTCATGCCGGGTTGTTAAAAAATCATCGCGAACGGTTTCGATGTTACAACGTTAAAGTGTCAACGCTAAAGCTGTTTCCCGAATGTTATATTAAAACATAAATAAGAAATTCTGGTATCCCGTCGGTCGCGTCTCACCTCGCCCGCCCCGCGGGATCGCCCTGTCCTGTGGACTTCGTTAGACGACTGTATGGATTAGTAGACTGTGATACTACTTTCTTGTCTTTTCTCTCAGGACAACCTCTCTTTTGTTCTAGTCTCTACGACGATTTCTATCGCTCTTGCTATTGACTTGGAAGTTGTCGCCAACTGCCGTATCTTCCTTTGCCTCTTTGGTTACTCTCTAATTCACGTATCTGCAAAATGTTGTCCTTAATTTTTATTCGAATACTCGGTCAATGATACATATTCACATATTTCCTCTGCTTCAATGTCATTTAGTAAATGACCCCGTAATCGAATAAAACTGTGTTTCTCATGAAACCATTCCAATGAATCCTGTTCTGTCTTCATGTCTGCGCCGACATTCTGTTCTCCATATATAGCCATAGCCCAATGTATGTGGTATAAGCACGCATGGCACGCGCACGCTTGCATGATCGTATTAGTTGCGGGTTATTTGCTAACTGTTGTGTTGCGCATAGATTGAGTAGAGGTACAAATGACGACTAACGCTAGCTTCGCGGTGTGGCTTTGCCTCGCGGAGGCGCAGTGCTGCGCTCGGCGGGCAGCGGTGGGCACCGCACGGCACAGCACAGGTAATGCAGCTAACCATCATCAATTTTTATCATAAGAAATTAAATTTAATGTACTAAAACTTTAGGTGAAAATATGTAATAATAATGAATACTAACTGCATTATGACAAATTACAAAGTTACAGTAACGACACTACGCGTAGTAAGTATCAAATACCTCTACAAAAAGGAAAAAACTTTTATTGGATAATTTAAGATTGAATCAAGCGTCAATACAATAAATTAAGAGCCATCCCGAATCTCTTTGTTTCCCAGGATATAAATTATGAGATATTCTTAATTATGATTCTTAACTATTATAGTAAGCATTAATAAATTATTAAGAATATGTATATGTATTTCATCAAAATCGACGCAATTGAAATGTATTAAAAATCCTATCGGAAGGTACTATGTACAAATGTTACCTACTTAGAATATCAGAATGTTTCTGGAAATACATTACTAACATTTGCTGCTATAGAATTTAAAGCAATCTTATCCTAAGTTATGTATAGAATATGTCACATAATACATTTTAATATGTTATAATATTATTTATATATTTATTTACTTATAATTTATTATATTATTATTATTATACATATTTACGTAATTATAATATTGTTATTTTGTACATATTATGTATGTATTTTTGATATGTAAATTTATTCTTAGTATTAAAAAAAATAATAATTTTATTATTGTATTATTATTATTTTTATTTTTTTTTTGTTATTTCTACTATATTGTTCACACCCCTTCCCTCTTACAGTTAATTCCAACACCTTAAGGTTACCTGGAAGAGATCGCTGTTGTGAGAAGGCCGCCTCTTGTACATAGCTCTTTTTATATTTTTCTTTTTTTCTCTTGTGGGTGTACAATAAAGAGTATTTATTATTATTATTACAATATATCACGGCAGGTGCAGTGGGCAAGGAGGGCACAGCGGGCCCGCGCGGCCCGCCCGGGCTGGACGGCCGCCCCGGCGACCCCGGCGTGCCCGGACCACCCGGCAAACCTGTACGCCTTATTTTTATTAACCTTTTATTACTTTAAGAAAACATTTCAAAGTAACTTCTCTTCGCCTGTTGAAGGTCTTGCGATCCACCACATGACATATAAATATTTGCTTTATTAAGTACCTACACTCAGCACAGATGTACTGAGAGTCCTTAATATAATAATTAAGCCTATTTTGTCTGACTACTCTGCAAATAATGAGTGGTTATTTAAAAAAAAAACGCGTAAGGGCGTACTTTTTTTAAAGATAGATATTTTATTCAAACCATTTAACCTGTAGAGTTCAAAATAATATTAATATTGATAAATATTATAATCTGCATCGGCTGTAACGCAGGGCGACATGGGACCGAAAGGTGAAAAGGGTGACTACGGCGACATGGGCTCGCCCGGCATGCTGGGCGCGCCGGGGCTGCCGGGCCCGCCCGGGTATCCGGGCCTCAAAGGGGAGAAGGGCGACAAGGGCGACTCGGTGAATAGCATTTTATTATTTGTTAAAATTAGACTTATCGTCTTACCTTTTTTATTCTTAAAAAAAAACTAAAAACTATTTTTCCTCGATATTTTACAAATATAGTATATCGAACTTCTATTTGGAGTATTATAAAAACTTTTTAACAAAAAAATAAAAACCGACTTCAAACAAAAGCACTAAAAAGTAAAAAATAACTAATTGGTAGTTTTCATTTACTATACGTACCTAATCAAATATTTTCGAAGTCGGTGTGCTTGGCTTGCAAAGTTTCAAGTCAATATGACAATTAGAAGTAGGTTAAATTCATCATTAGCTCTTTTTCCACCCTTAGGGGTGGTATTTTTTTTTAATTTAAATGGGACCAATCTGGAAGTATATACTTTCAAACAACACAAAAATTGTCCAAATCGGTTAATAAATAACGGAGTTCTGAGGTAACAAACATAAAAAAAAAGAAAAAAAATACAGTCGAATTGAGAACCTCCTCCTTTTTGAAGTCGGTTGATAAAATTAAAACCCTTTATTTTTTGAAACATTATAAATTATTATTTTCTCTCAGGAATGAACACTTGATATATTAAATTAAAAATATAAGTTTTGTATTAATCGGTTGCAAAAAGCTACCTCGTTATATCATTTATTATTAATTAGCAGTTATATTAAGTAATTTTTAAAAATGAAATATATGTTTGATATTTCCTAACTTTTCGCTCTGTTGCCTGCGCGGTGTCTGCGGCGGCGTCTGTGGCGGCGCGCGGTGCGGCCTCAGCAGAAGTACCGGAAGCTGAGACGCAGGCAGGTAACTATCCACTCCGACACTGACAGCGCACGCACACACCCGGCGCACATACAAACACGAATACACACACACGTATACAGTACAGGATGTTTTCAATGTGTCACGAACTGTTAATCTTTATGCCCACTGTTGAACTTGCAGGGAGACGGCACCGGCTACGAGCTCTACGGACATGAAATTGTAAGTTTCTATTGTCATATAAAATATATTGTCTTTAAACGAAAAGGTATTTTATATAGGCAGTGGTAGCCCAGTGGTAACGCGCTCGCTTGGGAAACCGAGTGAAGCGGGTTCAAATCCCAGGTCTCGCACCTCTGATATTTTCATGTGCGAATCATTTCTAACCTGATTACCACTTGCCTTACGGTGAAGGAAAACATCGTGAGGAAACCTGCATGTCTGAGAAAACCTAGCAAGTTTTCGAAAGACATGTGAAGTCCGCCAATCCGCACTTGGCCAGCGTGGTGGACTATGGCCTGATCTATATATATGAAGGGAGGCCCGTGCCCAGCAGTGGGATGTTAAAAGGGCTGAATACATACATACAAATGAAAAGACCGAACGTCGAAAGTAATTGAGCTAGCAAAAGCACAAATATTATCTCGAACTGTCCGACTTGCACCGAGAACTTCTAAAAGATCTGTAGTTGATTAACTGGCATAAGGACGCACAAATGAAACTGGCGAAGTTTTAGTATTTTTTTTTCATACACTATACTGTATACATAATAAAATCATAACTAGGGCAGAGCTTAAAATGTTTTTTTTTTTTAATTGTATTGTGGACTAAGATTCCGCTGCAAGATTGCTACGTTCATAGCGTATTTAATCAAAATTATTTTTTTATATACAATAATAAAAGGGACAATATGTTTTGACCGGGGTGCCTATTATAATTTGCCTGCTAGTATGTTTAATTAAATAAATAATACTTTTTGGAACAAAATGCATTTGTTATTAAAATGAATTATACGTACTCCTCTTCACCGAAATATAAGTAGAGATCTTAAAAAGTGATAGCTGCCGTTGAGCACTTGGCCGCAACCTCTTTGCAGCCAGGTGTAAGGTCATATTTTGTTACGTTTATACGTTCATCGCATATATTCATCATTTATATATCAAATTAAAGCTATTTTTTTTCTGTACACGTCGATGTTTTTATTAATACGAACTCAAGCAATCGGTATTTTTAACATGCTTTTTAACAAGCTTCAATTAGCTTCACCACCAACTATCTATGTGACGGAATCTTTGAATGCGATTTTTACCCACTTCAAAACTTCAGATTGAACTGAAACTTTACATATTTAACAAGAACCGATGATAATACAATAATTTAGAAAAAAAATCAAAATTAATCTCCTAAGAGGGTAAAACAGGGGATGAATGATTGTATGAAACTCTGTTGTTCTTAATATGAAATGCACAGAAAGTGGTATTCAGTTTTATATAATAATAGATAAAAACTAAGAAATATATTATTATTTTTTTTAAATTCATCACTTAAAGAGGTAAAAGGGGGTGATAAAGTTTATATGGGCAAAAATTATTTATGGTCATTGTTACTTGAAACTTCGTATTAATTTTTTTCAATATAACAAATAAAAACGTGTTCAAACACTTTTCGAAATTCATCTTATAAGGGGGATAAAATAGGGGATGAAGGACAGTACGAAACTGTAATTTTTTTAAGTGAAATCACGAAAAGTGGTATTTACGTCTAAAATAAAAAATAAACGAATACGTATATCAGATTTTTTTGTTGAAATTCAATTCTTATAAGGGTAAAAGGGGGTGATAATATTTATACACTCTTTGATTAGCTTCACCTGTATTTATCTATATATCAGAATCTTTAAATGCGATTTTCACCCACTTCAAATCTTCAGATTGAACTGAGACTTTGCACATTTAACAAGGACCAAGAAGGATAATAATTTAAAAAACTAAAAAAACACGCTTTAATGATGAACCGATGATTAAATTTTTAGTATAAGAATAAAGTGATTTACGAGAAAATTAATGCTATTGTGAAAAAAGCAATATGCATATATTCCATTGGTACGATTTCTAAAAGTAGAGTTAGTATAAAAATATTTTACACAGCACCATATACTCATTTTTCGAGCTTTTTCACTTTTCCAATTTGTTTCTTTTTCCTGCATGTCTGAGGGAACCTAGCAAGTTTTCGAAAGACATGTGAAATCCGCCAACCCGCACTTGGCCAGCGTGGTGGACTATGGACTGATCCTCCTCGTATTGAAGGGAGGCCCAGCAGTGGGATGTTGAAAAGGGCTACCTATATACAATTTGTTTCAAGTGATTTAAAGTAATTTTATCACTTACATCGAAGCTTGCCGCTAACTCTGACATGGTTTGCGATGGATCCGCTTCCACGAACACTTTTAATTCTTGGTTGTCAACTAGAGTCTCCGGCCGTTCACAGGGTTTGTTCTGTAGGTCAAAATTTCCAGAACGAAAACCGTGGAACCAAAAACGTACCGTTTTTTCTTTTACAGTAGCTTCCCCATACACATCAATATAGCCCGAGAACTCGTGACGAATTTTGGGAAGGTCCTTGTGGCAAGTTGAAATTGTAAAAAAAAAATATATAATTTCGTGAATTGGCGAGTAAAGTCCCGCGAGTCTGGTATAGCGTGAGTGGTTATTTCGTTACTCCGCAGCATATAACATTTGCAAAAAAGATATCGAAAAAAACATATTTTTGGCAACTTGATTTTTGTTTAATCTTATAATTTAGTTTTCATGTAATTCAAAAAAAAAGAACACCAGACGTTTTTTTCGGTTATAAAGTATTGCCAGACCTCTCCAAAAATACTTTATTAAAATTCCAAAAAATATACTTTTGGCAATCAGAAATTTTAATCACGTATTTATTGAGTAATTTTCAATAATATTTGCAAATCGCCAGAGGAATTTACCGGTTTTAAACCATTCCCAGATGTAAATAAAGTTTACAAATGAGTTCTACAAATTTTATGCGTAGCTATAGGTGCGAGAAAGATAGCTTATCGAGGTATGCCAGCAGCTGATGGAGGCCCAAGGTCCTCACACTGTGATTGGTTATCGAGAAACCGCGCGTTTCGAGTATGGTTCGGGTTTTGCTCTCGGAATATTAATAATTCCAACTGTTTCTGCACCACTGGTGGAACGGTGAAACTCGTATTCGTAAATAACGCGATATTTTAAGTTTTCCTTATTAAAACAGAACTATGTCAAAGAAAAAATCAATTGTCGCGAAAACAAATGAATCACTAAATTCAAAACAAAATACGCAAGCCTAAATTTGAAATAAATTTGAATTTGGAATTCCTAATCAGACGCCTGATATCTGAGATTAAAGTAGTCAAAACGCCACTTTCGTACTATATCAAGGATCTAATTTTATTTCTGATCTTACATTATTTTAATCTCTAAAATAAATAGGCTTACTTAGAGTAAGTGATGATGATGATGATGATTGTGATTTGTTCTTGGCTTAATATTTCTTATTAGGTACCTTAAATTTTATTGACTTTTGAATTTAGAAATTTGTGTTATCAGTTATTTTTTTTATTATCATATTAAAATATATTTTTTGTACAGATGATGGGCCCACCGGGCGCGCCGGGGCCGGCTGGGCCGCCGGGCGTGGCGGGACCACCTGGTATCAAAGGCGACAAGGGCGAGCCCGGCACACGCGGCAAGGCTGTACGTACTCACAAACATATAACCACGCATTTGCTTTTGCTCAAAACCAACCCATTATACATATTATGCTATCATTTAAGTCTCAAACTGTGAAGATTATCCCACAATTTTAGAGTAAAAAAATTTCCAAGTATTGTTTTTATAATACATCGTTTCTCGGCGAAAAAATACTTTATTTACGGAGAAAGCCTGTGCATTTAACGAGACAAAGAAAATTATGGCATAAAATGGGTTTTAGTATAATATGTATTTATAACAGAATTTGTTTTATGGTCTTTATTTTCACTTCGAATCACCACTAATAGTATATGAAAATGTTTTAAATTTTTTACGCTTTTGCTTTTATAAATTTTGTTATTTTGAGGACACTTGAAACAATTTACCTTGCGATTGTAGGGTGAGCGAGGGGAGAAGGGGGATCCCGGCCCCATGGGCTTACCGGTGAGTAGCTTATATTAAATCTATTTTTTTTGTTATACATATATTTATCATTTTATATAAGTTTTATCAACAAACAAAACATCCACAGGGTCCCGTAGGTCTTCCAGGAGAAGCGGGCGAACCGGGCAGGCAGGGCGACTCCGGGCCTAGGGTGAGTAAAACTATGCCTCAAATAAAGTCACACTACACCGACACGCTTAACTGTTTATGCCTCCGAACTACACTCGGTTAAACAATTTTATTATCATTTATGTATATACTTCATTACTTCAGGACAAACTAACGAAATAGTATTGTGTATTGCGAGGAGAGACATTATGCGTTTCGGTGGTTCCATCTAAGACGCCACGGTTGCGTCGTCACTCCCCGACACTTAGACACACTTCTAACCGATTAACAGACCGTAGTGACTGGGTAGAGGATACAGAATAGATAAGCATGACCAATCTCATAATAACACGTCAGTGTGTGTACTAACCCGGCGGTGTGGCGCAGGAGAACCGCTGGCCGCCGGACTTCGCCTTCACGTAGTGCGCGCCCCGCGCCGCCGCCGCCGCCGCCCGCCGCCCGCAGCCCGCCGCGACCACACTGTAAATTGTAAAATTTGTACGTAATTAGAATAAGAGTTTCTATTGTAAGACGTTACCAAATCTAAGTATAAGTGTTAAAAATTGTATAAAAACCATATTTTTCATGATTTTAGGTGATATATGTAAGTACAGTAATTATACAGACGCGCTCATGGATTTCGCAATGTACTGTAGTGCGCTGTTACATTTATCGAAGACGTGAGCGAAAACAACGTTTTTTTTTCAATTCTGAAGATTCAGAAGGTCAGTTTTGAGCAGACATTTGTTTTGTCTCCGTACGAATATTACGTTCGTTAAATTTCACTGCCGTCTCGTTCAACGCACGGCGAACCAATTATCTCATAATTATCGATCTTCTCTAAATTCCGTCTTGAGAGTGGGTAAACTTCTATTCTACCTTTAGCTTTTACATAATGTGTAAAATATCTAAATAAATGTACTTAGAAATAAGGTATGTTATGTGATCAGCGATCAGAGTGACTATTTTGAAATCGATAACTATATATTTGTATATTTGAACGAGGTTTAACGTGCAATGTGCATGCGACGTCGAGAGCGCAGTGTCTGCCCGTCGGATGTCGCGATGTCCAATGTTACTTATTTATTATAGCCCCGTGTATAAGCTAAGCCCTCTTCTATCGTCCTGTGAGTATATCGTCATTTCTATTCGTGTGTAACCTAAATGTAAGAAACATATTGGCGTCGGCGCACGGTGTCGCCCGCTCCTCGTGTGTAAATTTTCTTCTAAATAAAAGTAATCAATATTTAAGGGATTTTAATGATGTAATTGATAAGCACGAGGCGTGGCAGTGCGCCGACGGCCGCAAGTGTCCCGAGTGCTCCGTCCGCACTATTAACTACTTAAAATGTTGACTCGTGCGTATTGTCGCTTGTATCTCGTCTGTGTATCGTCCCTTTTATATTGTACTATCGCCAGTGTATATTCAATGTCGTCTCGATTTTATAATTGTTCTCAAAGGAATGTACAAACTGTACCAATTCGTAGGCTAAGCGCTCGCCGCGCCCGTCGGCCCCGCGCCGCGCCGCTCTATGATATCCTTCCTGTCTCTGTCTGTGTATCGATATGATGTATGTTGCAGTAAGTGTATGTACTATTATGATATTAATTAAGTATTTAGTTTTTTTATGAATCGAAAGTTGTCATTTGTACCATACTCACGGGAGCATAAGATATTGTTGTTCACAAATTATTTTGAAGAAAAATAAATAATTGCATGCTGTGCATATTCAGGTCTTTCTTTTATTTTCTCGCTCCACTTCCTTTTCCTCTTTTCGATAGTGATGCGCGATCGGCGGTCGATCGAGCGACCGAACGATCCATCGGCGAAACTATGCATGCTGCCGGCGAACTCACTCGAACCATTCTTCATCTACAAAACGCAGTTTTTATAACTAAGTCGAATCTGTATAAGATCTTATACATTCATATTTCTATTGCATGGAAACCTCACACCTGTGCATCCGTTGAGTACAACATCGTCAGGTAAGGTGATGTTTCGTTCTTTGTATACCGATGTGTGTGTATGTACCAACAGCATGAATATTCGTAGTTTATGACAAGAATAAATGTGTTGAACTGATACATGCGTTGTTCCACAGGGGCCTCCCGGGCTCGATGGAATGAAGGTGAGTGTATTTAAAAATATTAATTAAAATAGTTTCGTCAATCGCTTACTTCTTAAACTAGAAATATACTATAATATCGGTAAAATAGTAAAAATGTCTATCATTGGGTACTTAGATATTGTAATAACGCTTTCATTGCGGGTCAAGAGTAGACCTTATTATAAAGAACACATTGCGCTACGCCTAGTATCTTCGTAGAGTATGTAGTCGTAGTCTACAGTAATATTTAGTATAAAGTTGAGTAAGTACTATGTGCAATGTCGAGCTCAGAGTAGTGACGTGGTGTGGTGTGCCGTGTGCAGGGCGCGCAGGGCGAGCCGGGCAGCAAGGGCGAGCGCGGGGACCCCGGACTGCCTGTATGTATTATTACTTTCATTAACGTAAAGTTTCAATTTCGCATTAAGGAAAATAAACGTTTATAAATAATATTTTATTACTAATCCTATGTTGCGAAATTTCAGGGAACTGATGGAATACCCGGCCAGGAGGTAAGTGATGTCGTTTGTATTTAAAACGACAGAGTATGATTACATACGATTAATTTTTGATTTCGCTCGGTAGGGGCCGAAGGGAGACAAAGGATACAAGGGAGAACCCGTAAGTGAAGATTACTCTCTAATATTTCGTTATATTTCTCACGCCTCATCACCACTAACTTTCTACTTATATACACATCCCGCATGCTTTATAACTAACAGTAGTATGACACCAGCACACAAATACATATAGTCACTTCTTCGCTGTAAGTTTTTTAAATATTATATTTCAAATTATACGACAGAATTGAGGTGTGCCACTCAAATATTATATTATAACATCACGCCTCATAGAACATTAATATTTTTGTGGCACAGTTCAATCATACGACAGTCGCATTACGGTTCGTCCCTTTCTATCGATCATTCCCGTAGTCTATAAATCTACGGAATAATTTTGTAAAAACGAATTTCTATAGTAATATGTGAATATCTTTATATTCACAAGTATATATCACAAAGAACGAATACGTAAAGCGACAACAGAGCATCAGACTCGCGTCGTAACTAGTGCTAACTAAACGCCGGTGCGCTCCGCAGGGGCCGGCCGGCAAGCGCGGACGCAAGGGCGACAAGGGCGACCGCGGCGAGCAGGGCGTGCCCGGCCTCGACGCGCCCTGCCCGCTGGGGCCCGACGGCCTACCGTTGCCGGGCTGCGGCTGGCGACCTTCCAAGGTACACGACCATGTCAGACGACCCAGTTTCTTAGTCTTGCATGCAATTAATAGCTTTTCAAAATAAGTCATTTTGCGAGTTTGCTTTTTAATAACTAACAACATATCGACCGCTATATCTAACTCGAACCCAATGGACATTTGCGACACGTATCGTCCCGAAAGCTACTATTTAGCTTAGTTCTGAAAGCGAGGCGTAGAATAAAAAGGTCACAAAGGTCTAGACGGGCGGTGTGGTAGAAGCGGGAGTGAGGGCAAAAGGGAGTAGCGGGAAGTAGTTGTCGGTGTGGCAGGAGGCGGCGCGCGAGGAGCGGCCCGGCGGCGGCGCGCGCGAGGACGAGGACGGCGAGGCGGAGGGCGAGGCGGAGGGCGAGGGCGAGGGCGACGACGCGGGCGAGTACGACGTGCGCGAGGACGAGCTCGACGCGCCGCGCGACTACGACGACTACACCGACAACGCGCACCACGAGCCCCACCGCGACTGACACGAGGAGGTGACCTCCCCACATTTCCATCACATCAATCTCTACATTTTCGAGGGCTATATCATTTTCTCGATAGATAAAATCCGATCCCCAAATTTGGATCACCCATTAATTCTTTTACACCTTCTACTATCCCTAAGATCTTCTTGTTTGATCGCTTACTTTGTCCATTATTTATTTGACTATATAAAAATGAAGTGACTGCTGAAATCCTATATCTGTTAAAACAACCTGATTTATTTAAGGCATCACTATTTTTCTAAGATTATGTGACGTTTTTATGTACCAAAAATACCTTAGATTTGATCCTGAGGCTCTAATCATTTGTCACATGTGTCTTGCAATGAATGCAATTGCCAGCTGTCACTCCACAAATTAATTACATATAATACTATTCATATCATACTATAAATGCTTGGAAAACACCAGCTAAGAAACTACTTAGAGACAAGAATAAAATTGTCAATAAGGTATATTTTATTTATCTTTATATTCTTCAGCAAAGCGTTTCCATCACCGTTTTCTTTTTTATATACCTACATACATAAGCTGTAAAGTTTAAAATATGGTGGTAATCCTGAATGAGTGACAGGAGTAATTTGTCCAGAAATGAGGTGTCTTTGCTTCTAATCCTTTTCATTTTTCTTTCTTTCATAGAAAATATGCCAATCATTTTCTCCTATGAAATAGTAAACAGAATATAAAATTAAAAATCATTCGTTTTTTCTTGTAATTGTTCAAATTTCCTCAATCTAACAGAAATACACCACCACGTTCACGTAATCAAATAAGGGAAATCCCATAAAACAGTTAAAATACAGATATTGCAGATACGGTCTGATGAGATATACCTACCTATCTATATAGTAGTACTGTACCTTTTACAGTTCAGCTGATTGAAATCATGACGTAAGTATGAAATATTGAATAATTTGATACTGCTATCCTATAACTAATCGGTATGGGTAATTAACTAATTTATTAACTTAACCATTTTATTAATTTTATTTATATAAAACCTCTTTGCGCATGTGAATAAAATTTCAAGCTAGCGTCACGAGAAATCGTAACGAAAAACCGCCATGGTTGCCATAGTAACCGTTGTCATTGTCTGGAAAATGATATAAAATATTCATTCCGTTGCTATCTTCAAAGATTACTATTTTTACCAATTTGTTTTGAAATATGCAAAATATTTATAACTAGTGGCTCTCGGGTTCGTCTCTAGCTTAGAATACAGATTGTTCTCTATTTTGAGGTCCCTAGGTATGTTTTAACGGTTAGTATGGAATAGATAGAGATGTACATAATTTAACACTGCACACACATTTTTTTATATTATAACTAATAAGAAATGTAATCTAAATAACATTATTTTTTTGATAAAAATTATAAAATATCAATAGACGAAAAACAAGTTAGAGACCTAAGGAAATCATAACTTGTATGCGGTGACCTCAAGGACAATTATTATGATCGAGAAGTAAACACAAAAATTATGAAGAAATAGAAGCATTCGATGCCATCGCCTCTCTATCTGCTTCTTTAAGTAATAATACACTAAACATGAGACTTATAATCATTTTGGAGTTTTATATTCTAAGGCTTAGCATCTTTATACTTTGACTACCCTGAACGTCTGTCCGGCAAAAAAATTGATGTGGTATGGAATTGAAACGGCGAGTATGAGTTTGAAGACACTTGACGAGTACTTTAAGGTATTAAGTACTTTTGACCTTTATACATGAGCCGGGTGGGTTCGGCTCACGGAGTAATCGCGATATACCTAATTAGACTCTATGAGTCTCTACCGTTAGAGTAAATTATGTAGTATAATTTATGATGTTGGTCATGGCGCAGGAGGCAATGCTGGCGTGGCTGCGCCGGCGCCTGGAGCTCGACGCGGTGGACAACGACCTGCGCGCGCCCGCGCCGCCCCCCGCGCCGCTGCGCGTCCTCTGACTTATGACTACTTGCACTCGCACGAACCGCAGAAACACTCGTCAGATTGAAATTAAACAAAACAGTCATAATTAATTAAAGTTTACATTACTTCTTTTACCTATCCAAAGTATCTTATTATGGAAAAGTAGAGATATAATATTCAATTACAGTTGTGCTACTTTTCTCTTGTTTTTAAATTAGATACATACATATATGACAGTAATAAACACAAAATTGGCAAATATTATTTTCCAACAGCGACAATTATACAACTTGTTGATACATTACATACAATTAGAACACAAATATACACACGATACCGCAACAGGAAAACGACGCCGAAGATTAGCGCGACCTCGAGCCATGCCGCACTCGCAACACTTAACAATTTATTTATAACTCTTCAATTCTCACACAGTACCTATTAGTGGCCCCCGTGTAGTACGATAACTGATGTATAACTTGGAATTATTTTTGGAATTAAACACGCACGTTGTACATTTATTATGTAGTACATCCTGCGCAGAATTTCTGCGCATACAGTTTCGTTATTCAGGTATATTTCTCAAACGCTACATTTTTTTCTGAGAAGAAAATATGAAAGTTAAATACAGTATTTTTAATGTAACTAATTGAAACATGTTGAAGGTGTAGAAATTATGTTTCGCTGCTCTTTTTACATATGTATCTTCTATATTATTGTTAAATGGAATGTAAATATTAATTATGCAGTTATAGCTAAGGTCATCAACTATTTCGGGGTACGAGAACAAGTCACTAATATAAGATATTAACAATATGTATGATTAGACTTTAATTTAAAATATTTTTTCGCAAAATTACTCCTTTATCAGAGTTGTTCACATTATTCTAGTGACTTGTTGACTCTTATTCTTAACACTTGTAATTATAAAAGTTGTAAGTATCGTTAAATAATAGAGATATAATTTATGAGAGAATAGTAAGCTGTACATAACCATTTCCTTTCTGTTTAACAACTTTTTATATTTTTCAAATATACATATGTCATATTGAAGCTCAAATTAAAATAATAAGAAAAATGTAGACAACAATAAAAGTAAAACAATAATCTCCAGTGCACCCCCTGAAGGCCTGAACACTGTGGGGGAGCCTGAGGAGGAACACGTACTCTATATACACATATTATTATCAAGCGCCATCACTGTTCTGCATCCACTGCTTATCTTATTATTTGAGTCTGAGTACTAATATCACAAAGAGATTATAAATTTACTAGCGGACCCGACAGACGTTGTCCTGTCTACACGTCTTTAATTTGAAAATTTCAAACTTTTTTTAATAATTTTTTTGATGAAAATTATTATTCAAATTGTGAATCTAAACCATTCCCAGATCCCCTTGAACACACACAAAAAATTTCATCAAAATTGGTCCAGTCGTTTGAGAGAAGTTCAGTGACATACACACTCACAGAAGAATTATATATATAAAGATAATTCTTAATTGGGCTTGATTAAATGTTAGTCTACTTCATACAATTATTAGATATAATAATTGACCTGAATAGAGTGCGAATAGTACGTGTATGATGTAAATGTACTCGAACTAGACTCTACATAGTAATCGCTAGAAAATAGAGTTGAGATATTTCTTAACATTCAGAATTTGGTCATTTATTTGCTAAAATTGTAAATATTAGTGGAGTAGTAGTATAATAATTGTAACAAAATAGATACCATAAGATTACGTCTTACTTTTTTAAATAAATTATCTAATATAAGACTTACGATTTTAATTTATTAATTTTATTTATAGTATTTTTCATTTTCCTGAGATATAGAAGAGGAGATAAATAAACACTGAAGATGCAAAACCTAATATGTACATCGCTTTGTTCACTTTGAATTTTCTTTTTGGACTCTATAGACTTATAAATCTATACATATAATAAAATTGTAACTAAGCGGAATCTGTACATTAAATATTTTTTGGAAAATCTTATTGAAATAGATATTATTATCGACACAGAGGCTGAATCTATAGGTTTTTGTCTGTCTGTCTATCTGTTACCGCATCACGGAAAACCACTGGAGGAATTTTGATGAGGTATGATGATAGCTGGTTATCCGGGTCAACATATAGGATACTTTTTACCGCGGGAAAATATCTCATTACTGAGAAAAAATACAAAAACTGCAATGTAAGAGTATACTAATATGTAAAACCTAAGAATTTGGTTTTTGGTCATCTGAATGCGGGAGGAGCCGCGGGCAATGCTAGTATAATATATAATGAGAGGAATCCAAAAATATCCTCTCTCTGCTAAACTTTAAACACCTTTTACATTATGACTTCACAAAGACAATCAAAACGCCCATTCAAGCTGAATTCCAAATTGCAGCCTGTACAATAATACCCATCAAAAACATAACATGTAAAAAATGCAAGTCTCGTAACACTATTCTTCTACCGCAAAAAAATGGGAGCTATAATGTAAAAACGGAGCGTATTAATTTATTCAGTTATCAGTATCTGTCTATAGAACTATCTATCCAACAACTTTGTCATACTTTGAATAGTTCTTAAACTTCAGGTTCAAATTGAATGTAATTTGGAAATATACCTAGTTATATAATATCCCATATAAAACATAAATGTGAAAAGGGGAGCCAAAGTTCAATATTAAGAATAAGTGTGGTCGTCAACTTCACCGACAAAAAAATTGAGATTTAAATGAGTTCATGTTTTGTAGATAATACTGAATTTTTTTCCTAAGAATATACAACATTCTAAAACACACGAATATAAGATAATTTGTATGTTCTATATCTACGTAATATGGAACTGAACGCGTTTTATAGTCTGTATTTGTTGGAATATTTATTTATTTGCTAATGTCAAAGATGTCAAATGTCAATGTCAATGTGTTTATGAGTGTGTAGTGTGTCTGTGTACATTGTGTACATACAAACATTGTACATGTGATGTTATTACAACATTTATATTTTTATTATAATTTGTGTTCGCAACTTTTGTGGTTTTAGCAAGTTTTTCCTTATTGTTAATATTGTTTAGCGTTAGAACAGTGAGTGTCATATAATTATCTTAGGACCTTTATAACGCGTACGTGAATAAAATTCGTTATGTGATAATAAAAGAACAAGAATGAAACTAAATGAAAGTTTTAAACTTGGAATTGACTTAATGGATGTGAATTAATGTGAAATGATGTTTAGAAGTGGAACATGGATTTTGATTTTTGCCTATATAATAGTGACAACGGCAGAGGGTCCTCAATGCCCGCCATCCGTTCCCTCAGAACGGTGTCAAGATAATGGGTCAGCAGTCGACGAATACTTTTTCTACGTTAATGGTTAGTACTTTCATAAACATATCAATGAAACTTCAATTCATTTATTATATATTACTACATTGAAATTCATGGAAACTTCATGTATTAAGTATGACTCACTAGAGCTGACTAGATAGGCATACATTAACCAACTATCTACTTATTAGAAAGCCTTAACTTTTACTTTTCTGATTATTCATTTTTATTTCTATTATGTTTTAAATATTCTAATAACAAACCACATAAATATTTATTTAGCATTACATTTTAAAAATTAATATTATAAAATATTCAAAAAAATATTGAACTTACCAACTTTACTATGTACACAATAATTGTAAATATTTTTTTTCTTTCCTACTTATAATCAAGACCTCTTATTAGAGTTACCAACTTTTTTTAAAGAAATGGAGTATATCTGAGTAGCTATACTACATGAAAAATAGTACAATACTCTATTTTAGAGTACGGTTGGCAATCCTACCTCCTAATAAAATATTATTCACTCGTTGATTTTATTATAAATGCTAGCGGCTCACCCTTCCTTCTCTTGGGTTCTCCCTAGGTACACTTAAGTTGACAGTTAGTATGGAATAGATAGATTATATATTATTATATTATATATCATATTTAGATTGTAAGCACTGAGCTGTATTATTATAACATGTTTTCCCATGGGTATGAGATAACCTCCCTTGATAAGAAGTAGCCTATGTCACCCTCCAGCCCTCCAACTATTTTCACACAAAAAATCATGCAATCAAATCAATCAATCCATCACTGTTTAAATATGAAAGAAGGACCAACAAACAAACACACTTAATATAAGTATAGATATATGACATATTATATAAAGTATTCCACATATTAGAGACATATTATTATATAGTACTATCATTGCCCGCGGCTTTGCCCGCATTCAGATGACCAAAAACAAATTCTTAAGTTTTACATATTAGTATACTCTTAGATTGCAGTTTTTGTATTTTTCTTAGAAATGAGACATTTTCCCGCGGTAAAAAGTATCCTATATGTTGACCCGGCCAGCTACCATCATACCAAATTTCATCAAAATCTCTCCAGTGGTTTTTGCCGTGATGCGGTAACAGACAGACAGACAAAAATTCTAAAAACTATAGATTCGGCCTCAGTATCAATAATAATGTTTGTTTCAATAAGATTTTCCAAAAAGTATTTAATATACTTACAGATTCGACTCAGAATTTTATTATATGTATAGATTACAAATTAAAACGCAATCAAAGAATAAAAGGCATAGAAAACATTTTTTTTTTATTTAGCTTTAGTTTTCAATCCACAAATATTGTTAATATTTATTATTTAGTAAGCTTTTGAAGTTCACTTTGTGAAGATATTTAGTTAGAGTAAGTGGTTCTGTTACAAATCTCACTTACATATTCTAAATTTACGTAAAATATTTAGTTTTAGGAAACTATAAAATCAATACACAATTGTAATTTACTTCGTGCTCCATCATCATATCAACTAGCCGGTATTAAAATGTTATACATATACTCATACAGATGTCACATATAAAGTTTTAAATATTATGGCAATAACTACTTGTAGGATAACATTGACAAATATATTTTTTTATCATTATTATCAAATCAAATGTAAAATTTTTTTTTAGGTCAAAAAATGACAATAATTTACAACGTGAATTATTTATACATCGAATGCTTGGAAAATTTGACACTGGAAAGTGAAGAGATGCCTAAGCTCAGGAAACTAGTGGAAGTGAGTCGCGTAAAGCTGTCGGGCTGCGCGCCGCCGACGGGCGGGTACGCGCGCGCGCTGCGCGGCCTCGGCGTCGGCGTCGGCGGCACGCTCGAGCTCGTGCGGCTGCCGGCGCGCCCGCCGCTTGCGGCGCTGCACCTGCGGGACCTGTCCGTCGTCGCGCTCTTGATATCGGGCGTCGACGAGTCTCTCCAGCCCGACCCCGCCTTCCTCGAGCCCCTGTCTAAGCTGCTCGACCTGCGCCTCACGAACGTGTCGCTGTCGCCGGCCGCCGCGCTGCGCCTGCCGGCCACGCTGCGCTCGCTGGCACTGCAGCAGGCGCGGCTGGAGCGGCTGCCGGCGGCGGTGTTCGCGCGGCTGCCGGCGCTGGCTGCGCTGCGCGTGCGCGACGCGGCGCTGCGCGAGCTGGACCTGTCGCTGGCGCCGGCGCTGGGCGATGTGGTGGCGGCGGCGCCGCTGGAGGGCGTGGCGCTGGGGCCGCGGCTCGCCAACCTGTCGCTGGAGGGCGCGCGCTCGGTGGAGCTGCGCGGCGAGGGCGCGGCGCTGCGCTCGCTGGCGGCGCGGCGCTGCAACCTCACGGCGCTGCCGCCGCGCTGGCTGGCGGCCGCGCCCGACCTGCGCGAGCTCGACCTCTCCTACAACAACCTGGATCACTTGTCCAGGTCTGCTGTTTTATTTATAAAATTTTAATGCATGAGTATTAATTATTAGGTTAATATAGGAATTGGAAACATTATACTTGTAGCTCGAAACGAGCGTCACAGTTAACGAGAAACTGGTGGCCGAGTTTCTCTACTGATGACACTTTATCGGTGCAGACAGTAGAGGTAGTACTGTAACGGGGTTAAAATTGTAAAACGATCATGTCTGTGTCGTGTTGCTAATCTATGATGTGACAGACTAAAATAGTTTTGAAAAGTAATCTGTACACTTATGTTTGCGTATATACAAGTACATATGTATCTCACTACTATTACGAGTGCCCTTACTTGTATAATTAAAGCGAAACAATGTAAAATATTTCGTGTCGTGGTGACGTCGACAGCGAGCTGATCGCGTCGCTGTCGCGGCTGGAGACGCTGTCGCTGGCCGGCAACCGGCTGCGGCGCGCGGCGGCGGCGGCGGCGGCCGCGCTGCCGGCCCTGCGCGCGCTCGCGCTCGACCGCAACCCGCTCGGCGACCTCTGCGGGGACGGCGGCGACGGCGACGACCTGCTCGCCGACGGTGCGTACACCCCTCTACACTCACTATATCTTACTTCATTTCTATCCTAACGATAAAAAAACTACTGCATTGTACTCGTTTGACAATTCAAATAGATTTGTGCCGTGTGCACAATACCTATTATAATGTGTATCCGTATTTGGTAACAGATAGATCTATGTGTTCAATATTATAAAAGTACCTTAGTCATACTGTAGCACGCATAATAAAGACACGTGAATTTGTATTCGTAGTTTGTTCTTGCACCTTATATATAATATAAAATCAGTTAATTTTAAGTCAGTTTTTGTCCCTCAAACTGACACAATTAACAGCCACATTGCCGTTGATGACGAGGTCAATATGTCTTCAGTTAATATATCGACTGTAGATATTCAACGTGAAGTTGTCTTAAAGCACTTTGAGCAAGTTAATGTAAATAAAGGTGCCGGTCATGATGGTATTCACCCAGTTTTAATAAAAAAACTTTGTAAAGAGCTTTCAACTCCACTTACTATTATTTACAATAAGTCCATAACTGAAGGCTGTTTCCCGAGTATATGGAAAAAAGCTATCATCACCCCCATTCCGAAAGGGGGTGATATACACGACGTAAAGCAATATAGACCCATATCAAAGTTAAACATTTTTGGTAAAATTTTTGAAAAAATTATAACTAATATACTTACCTCTCACTTGTATCATGTAATAGCTCCCGAACAACATGGATTTTATCGTGGTCGTGGTGTAAATTCAAATCTTGTGATGTACACTGACTTTTTGCTTAATGCTCTTGATGTAGGTCATCAGGTTGATGCAGTGTATACTGACTTCTCGAAAGCGTTCGATAAGATTAATCATTCTGTTTTAATAAGGAAGCTTTCGAGAATTGGTATACACGGCGATCTTCTTAGATGGGTATGTTCATATATAAACAACCGTAGCCAAGCTGTTGCACTCAAGGGGTATGTCTCTAATTTTGTGGAAATTTCGTCTGGAATTTATTTATTTTATTTATTTACTTTTTTTTACACATTGTATCAATTCAATGATCACTTGTGTACGTCAATTAGAAGACTTAAACTAAAGCTACGAGGGTTCGTAACGCGCCCTGGTCTGAGAAGAACCCACAAGAAACTCAGCCAAGTAACATTTTTTTTATTGTGATCATTGTTTCACAAACATCCTTACTTCAGTATAAAGAGCAATTCATTCCCAAGCTTTTTTATCACTTAAATAATCCTTTACATTATAATAGGATTTATTTATTAATTGTCTTTTAATGTAAATTTTAAATTTATTTATTGACAGTTTTAAAGTATCATCTGGTAGTTTATTGTAAAAGCGAATACTATTACCAATAAAGGAATTACCAATTTTATGGAGCCTAGTGGTGGGCTGAACTAGCTTATTTTTATTTCTAGTGTTTACATTATGCAGGTCACTATATTTCTTGAATTTATCAATATTTTTATGTACATATATTAGATTTTGATAGATGTATTGACAGTGTACAGTCATTATTTTAATTTCTTTAAACTTATTCCGCAAAGATTCTCTTGGGCCTAAATTATATATAGCTCGAACAGCCCTTTTCTGCAGCACAAAAATTGTGTCAATATCAGCAGCATTACCCCATAGTAAAATACCATATAACATAATGCTGTGAAAATAGCTAAAGTATACTAACTTAGCTGTCGTTACATTTGTTAATTGACGTATTTTCTTAACCGCGTAGGCTGCAGAACTGAGCTTATTCGATAATTGAGAAATATGAGGGCCCCATTGGAGTTTGGCATCTAATGTAATGCCTAGAAATACAGTGGTATCAGCTAGATCTAGTTCCTCATTATTCAGTCGTACATTGGTTTTTACACTTTTAACATTTGGTAAAGTGAATTTTACACATTTTGTTTTTTTCTCGTTTAGTAAAAGGTTGTTGACATTAAACCATTGTACCACTTTGGATAAAGCAATGTTCACATCGTCAATTACTGCTTGTCGTCTGTTAACTTTAAAAACTAAAGATGTATCATCAGCAAACAAAACTATCCCGTGGTCATCCTTTACGAGGTATGGTAGGTCATTTATATAAATGAGGAACAAAAAAGGACCCAAAATTGAACCTTGTGGTACACCCATTTCAACAACTGATCCAGGGGAACGCTTTCCATTCACGTCTACCCTCTGGATTCTTTCATTCAAATATGATCTAAGTAAATCCAGAGCCTTATCTCTAATTCCGTAGTGGTGTAATTTTCTGACCAACGTTTCATGATGAACGCAATCAAATGCCTTGGACAAATCACAGAAAATGCCAAGTGCATCACGTGACTCATCCCAGGCCTCAAATATATTTAGAAGTAACGCGACTCCAGCATCGGCTGTTGAACGACCGCGAGTGAAACCGTATTCCCTCGAACCGAATCCCTCAAGGCTCTCATTTAGGGCCGTTTTTATTTACTTTATATATAAATGATATGAACTCTTGCATTAGAAACTCTCATCATTTGTTATACGCTGATGATACCAAGATTTATAAAATTGTCCGTTGTAATGATGATTGTCTCGAGTTACAGCAAGATTTATATCAATTTGAGCAATATTGTAATAATAATCATTTGTTCCTTAATGTTGATAAATGCTGCGTAATAACTTTTTCTAGAAAACATCAGCCTCATATTTATAAATACAAATTACTAGGAAATACTCTGAACAGAGTCACCGAAGTTCGTGACCTTGGTGTCACGCTAGACTGCAAACTGCACTTTAACCTTCATGTTGACAAAATTGTAGCTAAAGCTTTTAAGCGTTTAGGATTAATCCTCCGTCTAAGCGAACCTTTTACTCGAGGTAGTACACTAAAAATACTATATAACGCGTATGTGAGTAGCATTCTCGAATTCGGAAGTATTGTCTGGAGTCCTCAATATATGGTACACATCCAAAGAATTGAAAAAGTGCAACGGAAGTTCGTGAAGTCTCTGGACTATCGTACTGGTTTTTATTATACCGACTACGAGGAGAGTTTGACAAGACATAATATGCAGCTTTTGCACTCCAGGCGTAATTATTTAGATACCATATACTTATACAAAATTGTTAATAACTATGTAAACTTTTATGTAAACTTATTAATTTCAAATACCTACAGCAAAGGTATATTTGGTGACCCCGACACAAGAACCTACAATCATGACGAGCTCCAATACTTCAGGATCAGGAGCAGCAACGCAGAATGACTCCTCCGGTTTAGCATCAATAACAGTTTCCTCGAGGATTCCGGAGTTCTGGTGCGACAAACCAAGACTGTGGTTTGTACAAACTGATGCAATCCTTGGACCACAGAAACTAAGTGACGAATCCAAATACAACCTGGTTGTCGCCAAATTAAGCAAGGAGGCGATTCAACAAGTTATCGATATCTTATTAAAGCCGCCCGAGACGAAGAAATTTGAAGCTTTAAAATCGCGATTATTGCAAGTATACGAAGAATCTAAAATTGGCCAATTCCAAAAATTACTAAGTGAAATGGAATTGGGGGACCAAAAACCATCTCAATTACTTCGTAAAATGAAGGATTTAGCGAGAGATAAAATTCCAGATGAAACCCTGTCTATTATGTGGCAAGAGCACCTCCCTGCTTCAGTACGAGCTGTTCTAGCAGTTACGGATGTAAAGAATATAGAAAATTTGGCCGCTATCGCTGACAAGATAATGGAAACGGCAAGGCCACAACAGGTTTCGGAAATAAGGGCCGGTACTTCGAGTTCTAGTGATACAGCTTTAATCTTGGCGGAAATTGCCAAATTAAAACTGCGAATAAATGATTTGGAATCAATAAAATCTATATTTAGAAATCGCAGACACAGCTTTCGTCGCGCACGCTCCCGGTCCACATCTCAACGGCATAATATGAGCCAGCGCACGCCCGATAATGCGGATTGGCTTTGTACGTATCATTATCGCTACCTTAATAGAGCAAAGAAATGTATGGAGCCGTGTGCATGGAACAAGAATAATCAGGGAAACTAAATATGGTGCAGTCGGAGGCGGAGATTGGCACCATTACGACTTCTAAACGCCTATGTGTTATGGACAAAAACAGTGGTTTTAATTTTTTAGTGGACACTGGTGCGAATATTTCAGTTATCCCAGCGACTAAGAGACCTTATTGTAGTAATAAGTGTAGTGAGTACAGACTTTATGCGGCTAACGGAACCGAAATAAAAACCTATGGTGTAAAAACTCTTGTTTTAGATTTAAATTTACGGCGACCTTACCGTTGGTCTTTCGTTATAGCAGACGTGAACCAACCAATTTTGGGTGCAGACTTTTTAAGCCACCATAAATTAGTAGTAGACGTGTATCGTAAGAAACTAATAGACGAAGTAACGAATTTATCTGTTATAACATCAGTGAAATTAGATTGTCAAGGCTCAGTAAGAACAATAGACTCAAACCATCCATATAGTGACCTATTAGCATTATATCCCTATATCACTAGGCCAATGTGTTTTAAGGATACTCCACGCCACTTCGTAGTCCACTATATAGAAACTAACGGGCCGCCTGTTTTCGCGCGCCCGCGTCCTTTACCACCGAATAAATATGAAAAAGTAAAGGCTGAATTCCAAAGGATGCAGGATATGGGAATATGTAGACCAAGCAAGAGCAGCTGGTCTTCTCCACTTCATGTAGTAGTCAAGAAAAATGGAGAATTAAGACCGTGCGGAGACTATCGGCGTTTAAACTATATTACTAAGCCAGATAGATATCCGATACCTCATATACAACATTGTGCATATGTATTAGCTAATAAGAAAATATATACTAGATTAGACTTGCAAAGAGCTTATCACAATATCGGTATAGCAGAGCAGGATATAGAAAAAACCGCGATAACGACACCATTTGGCTTATATGAGTTTCCGAGAATGACGTTTGGGCTTAGAAACGCAGTTCCAACTTTTCAAAGATTTTTAAACAATGAAGTTTTTCAAGATCTCAATTTTTTATTTTCATACATTGATGACGATTCATGATTGATGACGATTGATGATTCATCATAGCGTCATCTTCAGTAGCCGAACATCAAGAACATTTAAAACTTGTATTTGAGAGGTTAAATAAATTCAGCCTAACTATCAATTTAGCGAAATGCGAGTTTGGAAAAACTGAATTGGACTTCTTAGGTTTTCACATTTCTGAAAAAGGACTAAGCCCCTTAGAAGATCGCGTTAAGGCATTAATTGAGTTTGCAAGACCACAAACAATTGATGAGTTGAGACGTTTTTTGGGGATGATAAATTTTTATAGACGCCTTCTCCCAGGTGCTGCAAGTGATCAAGCTAAGTTAAACATTTATTTGAAAAATAGTAAAAAGAAAAACAAAAGCCTGATATCTTGGACTGAAGAGACGAGAGAAGCCTTCGAACAGTGTAAGCAAAGTCTAAAAAATGCAGTTACACTATCATTTCCTATCGCTGATGCTCCTATTTCTATAATGACAGACTGTTCTAACACCTGTGCTGGAGCAGTACTGCAACAAAAGGAAGGAACCTCATGGAAACCTCTAGGTTTTTTTTCTAATAAGCTAAGTGAGGCTCAACAGCGCTACAGTACATTTGACCGGGAATTATTAGCTATATATATGGCAATAAAGTATTTCCGTTACTTAATCTAAGGGCGACCTCTAACTGTTTACACCGACCATAAACCTTTGGTGCAGGCATTTAAGAAAAATTCTTTTGGCAACAACGATACCTCTCGGAGGTTAAGACATTTAGACTACGTGATGCAATTACAAAAATCGAGCATATTAACGGTTCAGAGAACACAGTGGCCGACACTTTATCTCGAATCGCTACCATCGATTTTTCATCCACAATAAACTATGAAGATCTAGCTAAGTCACAGAGTAATGACACAGAGCTATTGGATCTATTAAAGTCTAAAACACTACACATTAAAAAAGTTAAAATCCCTAACTGTAATTCATATATTTATTGTGAAACATCGAACGGAAAAATTCGCCCATATTTGCCGTTGGAATTCCGCGCATCGGCTTACAACGCCGTACATGGAGTTAGTCATCCCGGCATTCGAGCTACAAGAAATATGATGCGTGATATGTACTTTTGGAAGTCAATAAACAAAGATATTGCATCATGGAGTAGAGCATGTTTGGAATGCCAAAGGTCAAAAGTCCAAAGGCACAACATTTCGCCGTTCAAGTCATTTGAAAAAAGTGATCGTTTTGAACATATTCATATAGATATTGTGGGTCCTCTTAAATACTGCAACGGATACCGGTATTTATTAACAATGTTGGACAGAAGCACGGGTTGGCCCGAAGCTTGTCCTTTAAAGGACATAACAGCAGAAAGTGTAGCTGAGACAGTTTATAGTGGCTGGATAACAAGATTCGATTGTCCGTTAAGAATAACGACAGATTTAGGTCGTCAATTCGAGTCAAACTTATTTAACCAACTAGCGAGAAGAATGGGAATAACGAGGTTGAGAACAACAGCTTATCATCCACAGGCGAACGGTGCAGTTAAAAGGTGGCATCGTTCAGTCAAAACTTCTCTTATGTGTAGAGGTAACACAGAGAATTGGGTTAAAGAGCTACGGAGCGTATTGCTGGGGCTAAGAGCAAGTTTACGAGATGACAACCTGATATCTTGGACTGAAGAGACGAGAGAAGCCTTCGAACAGTGTAAGCAAAGTCTAAAAAATGCAGTTACACTATCATTTCCTATCGCTGATGCTCCTATTTCTATAATGACAGACTGTTCTAACACCTGTGCTGGAGCAGTACTGCAACAAAAGGAAGGAACCTCATGGAAACCTCTAGGTTTTTTTTCTAATAAGCTAAGTGAGGCTCAACAGCGCTACAGTACATTTGACCGGGAATTATTAGCTATATATATGGCAATAAAGTATTTCCGTTACTTAATCTAAGGGCGACCTCTAACTGTTTACACCGACCATAAACCTTTGGTGCAGGCATTTAAGAAAAATTCTTTTGGCAACAACGATACCTCTCGGAGGTTAAGACATTTAGACTACGTGATGCAATTACAAAAATCGAGCATATTAACGGTTCAGAGAACACAGTGGCCGACACTTTATCTCGAATCGCTACCATCGATTTTTCATCCACAATAAACTATGAAGATCTAGCTAAGTCACAGAGTAATGACACAGAGCTATTGGATCTATTAAAGTCTAAAACACTACACATTAAAAAAGTTAAAATCCCTAACTGTAATTCATATATTTATTGTGAAACATCGAACGGAAAAATTCGCCCATATTTGCCGTTGGAATTCCGCGCATCGGCTTACAACGCCATACATGGAGTTAGTCATCCCGGCATTCGAGCTACAAGAAATATGATGCGTGATATGTACTTTTGGAAGTCAATAAACAAAGATATTGCATCATGGAGTAGAGCATGTTTGGAATGCCAAAGGTCAAAAGTCCAAAGGCACAACATTTCGCCGTTCAAGTCATTTGAAAAAAGTGATCGTTTTGAACATATTCATATAGATATTGTGGGTCCTCTTAAATACTGCAACGGATACCGGTATTTATTAACAATGTTGGACAGAAGCACGGGTTGGCCCGAAGCTTGTCCTTTAAAGGACATAACAGCAGAAAGTGTAGCTGAGACAGTTTATAGTGGCTGGATAACAAGATTCGGTTGTCCGTTAAGAATAACGACAGATTTAGGTCGTCAATTCGAGTCAAACTTATTTAACCAACTAGCGAGAAGAATGGGAATAACGAGGTTGAGAACAACAGCTTATCATCCACAGGCGAACGGTGCAGTTAAAAGGTGGCATCGTTCAGTCAAAACTTCTCTTATGTGTAGAGGTAACACAGAGAATTGGGTTAAAGAGCTACGGAGCGTATTGCTGGGGCTAAGAGCAAGTTTACGAGATGACAACCAGATTAGTGCAGCCCAGTTGGTGTATGGTGAACCGATCAGGCTTCCTGGTGATTTCTTTGAGCTGACAAAGCCAGAAATCTCAAGTGAAGAAACATTTTTACAGGCGCTGAGACAGAAAATAAGAGATTTATCAGCAATCCCAAGGCGCAAAATTCGTCAAAAAGAAATTTTTGTTCACCCAGACCTTGGAAAATGCTCACATGTTTTTATTCGCTGCGACCGATTATCCAGCTCATTAACCCCACCATATTCTGGTCCATATAAAATTTTGAGTCGAACAGACAAATATTTTAAAATTCAAGAGGGAGATACGCAGAAAGTTATTAGTATAGATAGACTCAAGCCCGCGTTCATGTTACAATCTGATGACAATGCAATCTCGCCCAATATGGAAAGGTGTAATATTAACAAATCGCCTATAGTGACAAGATCAGGGCGCATCAGTAAACCTACTGTAAGATTCGCTCCATAGACGAATTGGTTACATTACTGCAACTTTATATTTTAATACGTATATTATTATTTTTTAAATAATAATATAATATATTATCAGAATGGGTAAAGCAGAAAGCAAACAAGAAAAAAAAGAAATTATTATTGCACAGAATGGCGCAGGAAACAGCGCCGTGGCCTCAGAAACGGCCACGCACTATAGCACAAGGGTAGAGTTGTATTCTCTCGCAACTCTGACCGTCTTACTCTTAGTTATTGGCTACATTTTATGGAAACGCTGCAAAAATCAATTTGCAAACTTTATGAGAAGAACACTACTGGATAATACTGCTGTTGTCATGAGACAATCAGACCAATGGCAGAACCAAGGATGTCAGCAAGTGATAGTGTAGTGTAAGTGCAATATGAAATAATAATAATAAAAAAAATAGTGATTTTAACACGTGTTTAATCGTAATCGTAGTCGTGTAAGAGATTGTAATCATATTGTAGAAGTATATACGTATGTACTATAATATATTTTTTTTGTACGTGTAATCAATGGAGGTTAAGGTGTATTATTTTTTTTTTACATAATTTTTTTATATTACATATACACTATTTGCTAAATTATGTTTAACGATTGTTATAATTTTGAATAATTTGTGAAAAATCTTGTTTGTACGACACTTTTTCATTGTCAATTTTTTTTTCTTAAATGTGAATTTAATAATAACTATAGATATCTTTTTTTTTGAAGGGGGGTATACTGTGCCGTGTGCACAATACCTATTATAATGTGTATCCATATTTGGTAACAGATAGATCTATGTGTTCAATATTATGAAAGTATCTTAGTCATACTGTAGCACGCATAATAAAGACACGTGAATTTGTATTCGTAGTTTGTTCTTGCACCTTATATATAATATAAAATATTAATTTCAAATACCTACAGCAAAGGTATAGATTTTTATGGCACATGGAATCGTCAATTTACATTTTTAAATTTAAATTAAACGTCGGTATGTAAGCCCGTGAGCAATTTCACGTTTTACAGAGAAGAGCCGGTGGGAAACTGAAAAGTTGTCATAACTAATGGTGAATCTCTCGGAAATGAAGAGTATTAACTAGTCGATTGGCTTTATCCTATCCCTGACACATACGATGAAAGAATAAATCAGCAGATCTATTCCTTCAGCATAAAGAGTAGTGTGCGTGCGCGCAGGTATGTCGCCGCTGTGGCGCGCGCGCGGGCTGCGGCGGCTGGGGCTCGCGCACACCGGCGCCGGCGCGCGTGTGCCGCGACTGGCGCCTGCAGCTGCGCGCGCTCGCCGCGCTCGACCTGCGCCACAACCGCGTGGCGCGCCTCGACCGCGCCGCGCTCGCCTGGCGCCGCGACGTGCGCGCGCGCGTCGACCTGCGCGCCAACCCCGTGCGCGCCGTGCTCTACTCGCGCGCCGACTACCTGGCCGCGCTGGCCGCGCCCGCCGCCGCCGGCGCCGACGTCACGCTGCTGCTCGACTCCGAGCTGCGCTGCGACTGCGGCGAGTACTGGTACGCGCGCGCGCTGCGGGACGCGCCGCGCCACGCCGCCGCGCTGCGCACCGCGCGCTGCGCCGGTCGCGAGCTCGCCGCCGTGCCGCCGCACGAGCTGCTGTGCGACGCGCCGGCCACGAGCTGCCCGCGCGGCTGCGCCTGCCGCGCCAACGCCGAGCAGTCGGAGCTGCGCTGCGAGGGCGCCGGCCTGCGCGCCGCGCCGCGCCCCGCGCCGCCGCCGCGCGCGCTGCGCCTGGCGCGCAACAACCTCACGCGCCTGGCGCCGGCCGACGCGCCGCCCGGCCTGCGCCTGCTCGACCTGCGCGACAACCAGATAGCCGACATCGACCTGGACACGGCGCGCGCACTGACCGCGCCCGACCTCGAGCTGCACCTGGACGGCAACCCGCTGCGCTGCTCGTGCGGCGCGCTGCCCGCGCTGCGCCTGCTGGCGGCGCGCGGCGGCGCGGGCGCGCGCTGCGCGGGCGGAGACGCGCGCTGGCGGAGGCGGTGGCGCGCCTGGACGCGCACTGCGCCAGCGCGCTGTGGCCGCTGGCGCTGGCCGGTCTCGCGCTGTGCGTGGCGTCCGTCGTGGTCTCCGCGTGTCTGGCGCGCCCCGTGGTGCGACACCGCATCAAGGGCTTCCTGGTGGCGCGCGGGCTGTGCGTGCGCTGGGTGGGCGCGGACGAGGACGCGGGCCGCGACTACGACGTGTTCGTGTCGTACTCGCACCACGACGCGGCGGCGGCGGGCGAGCTGGCGGCGCGGCTGGAGCGCGGCGCGCGGCGCCTGCTGCTGCACGAGCGCGACTGGGCGCCGGGCGAGCTCATCCCGGCGCAGATCGCGGCGTCGGTGCGGCGCGCGCGGCGCACGCTGGCGCTGCTGTCGCCGCACTACACGGCGTCGCGCTGGGCGCGCGCGGAGCTGCGCGAGGCCTGCGCCGCCGCGCTGCGCGACGCGCGCCCGCGCCTGCTGCTGGTGCTGCTGCCGGGCGCCGCCGTGGCCGCCGCCGCCGCCGCCGAGCCCGCGCTGCGCGCCTACCTCGCCGCCGTCACCTACCTGCGCTGGGAGGACCCGCGCTTCTGGGAGAAGCTGGACGCGGCGCTGCCCGCGCCCCGCGCGCCCTCCCCCTCCCCCGCCGCCCCCGCGCGCGGCCCGCTGCCCGCGCCGCCCCGGCGCCGCCGCGTGACGAGGAGTGTGTGCAAAATTAGGCTTTTGCCAAAATAAAATAGTGACGTAAGGTGTAAGTGGTTGTGTCATATTGAAGAGTGATATGTGAAGTTGTGATAACGAGAAATAAACATGTTTGTATTGGACCAAAGCTTATTTGTGTATAGTTTTCTATGTGCCAGATGTTATTTGCAAACGAGATAGAGCATATTAAAGTGCCAGTTGTCTGTTATTGTTTTAAGTCCTTTTGAAATTTTATGTAAATAAATATTTTTATACATTTTTTATATTGTTATACATTTTTCGTATCTATACAAATAAATATGTAATTATTAATTATCACATACTGTTAATAATCTCAGTACTGAATCTGATTCTGTTAATAAACACCTCTATTTGGCTGATGTTAACAATGTTATAAGGAAAATTTAATAAAATATTAAAAAATGTCTCAAGCCTTTTATTTTACTGCAGTAGGAGAAAGCTAATTATTTTAAGTTTTCTAGACACCTCACAATAATTAATGTTTCTAACAAATATATCACCTCTTTTTATAAGGAACCCCACGTGAAAGCAAAATTATTAATCAATTCCGTAAAACCCGAAAAAAATTAAAAATTAAAAAACGATTCGTGATAAGTTTAGTATCCTGATTTTAATTGCTTTTAATAAGGGAGGCCCGTGCCCAGTGGGTTGTTAAAAAGGGCTGAATAGAATTATAAATATTTAATTCCTTTATTCATATAAATATACTTGAACCATCTTCAGGTTCATATAGAACTAATTTTTTTCAAAAATTGATAGATTTTCTTTGCAAGGTGGTAGATAGGTGCCACCACAAACTATATAGAGATGCTACGCATGGTGTCCACGTACTACATATTATACTAAAAGTTAGTAGATCTACCGAAAAGTTGGTAGCACTGCAGTAGATGTATCTATGGTAATAAGGGGCGACTGGCGGGGGCCGGGGAAATACCTAGTTCTTCTTCTTATTTTCAACGTTCAAACTTTGAATAGTAAATATTAAATAAATAGAAGATTTTTTAATTTGTTTCTTCTTTAATTTTAACTAATTTATCTGTCGGCGACGGAAAACTTATCTTCGAGTAACGTGTGTATTAATATAGGGACAATGTCATTTTAGCGTATTATGAATAATTGTTGTAAATATGAAATCTCATTCTTATTAGATTTATTATGTTAAAATAAGTTCTAATTAGTGTAATAAGGTTAGTTTAGAGTATTTTTTGCTTATTTGAATCATATAAGACTATTTAACATTAATTTGAAAGGAATAGGTACGTAAGTAAAATGTTAGCATATAATTACGTAACTTGAAAATGAGATTTTTTGTTTCTTGCAATAGCATAATAGTTTATGTTTTAAATAATAGATTTTATTATAAAACTTATAATAAAACAAGAATTAGGTCGATAGGACTATCCGTTCAAAAGTTATAAGGGAAAATGTATAGTAAAAATGTAGCAACCTAGAAATTTAGATATTTTTGTTTTAAGACTTTTTTAATTAATTATTATATATTGAATATTATGTTTTAATATTGTATAATAGTATGTAAGGCATGTAAATAAATAAATATGTGTAAGGTGTTTTACTGAAAACATAAAATAAAAGGACTCTCAAGGTTTCGGTTTAGGGAAATTTTATTCGAAAAACGAGCTCAAAGTACGCGGCTCTCTGTAAGGTATTAACGGGCCAAATAAAAGGCGAGCCATTTCTCGATTCGAGTCAGTCGCAAGACAGCCACCGAAGAGGCAACAACTAAAAGGAAAAGGAAGAACCGAAACCAAGAGAGAAAAAAGGAAAAATTGTGTTTTATTTCATCGCCTCTAAGTATAGTCTCCTGTCAACGAAGAAACCCTAGTGGATCGGGACCCAAGCTACGCATTCAGGGGTGCGTGGTGGCGTACATTACCAGCGAACGGACATACTGCCGTGTACGCCAAGAACGTCTGGGAGATTGTCCCAGGTCGACCTCCGGGTACTAGACATACCCTGGTTCTGGTCGTCCGAAACAGTTGGTCCTTCGAGCCGGATCCCTGCTAGAAGAAGTTCAGAAGAAACAGAAGATTGCGTTCAAGATGCCGGTAACCAGGTCGCAGAAGGATGCCCCCTCACGTCCCGGGTCCCGTCCTTCAGATAGGGACGCGACAGATGGAACGTCGGGATCAGAAGGGGTCACGTCAGCGTCGGCGTCATCGGGAACTGCAAACTACATCGAACACTTCTTCGGGTACCACGACCACGGAGGGCACCACAGTGACGGAGACTACGGTTACGACTGCAACTACGGCGGCGTCTATGGAAGGCAACAAAGAAGATGCTGCACAGAGGATGACCAGGAAGAGCCAAGAAGATGTACCTGGAAAGGATGTTCAAGGCTCCTCCAAGACCCTGAAACCGATGGGGGTCAGTCGTCGCGCCAGGTCCACGAAGACCACGAGTTCCTCGGCCAGAAGACGCGAGCTAGAAGCAAAGGAAGAGTTGGCACGCCTGGAGTTGAAGCAAGCACAGGCTGAAACTAAGCTAGCCCGTGTCAGATTGGAGATGGCACAGTGTGAAGAAGAGGACTCCGTGGATGAAGACCTGGAAGACAGAACAGCACAGGTGCAGAACTGGATCGAGACGTCTGTGCTGGAGGATGGCAACAAAGTTCAACCAGAGATGCGAGGTCCACACCCCTTGGAAGAGCCACAGAAGATGAAGCCTGAAGAGAACTCCTCAACGAGAGGAGCTACGATTGAAATTCAAGCACTGACGGCAGCATTGAAGGAAGCTCTTACCACGCGAGGACCAGCAGGACAGCCAACCTACATTCACGAGTTACCCTACTTCGAACGGCAACAGCAGCGAGTGGATGGCCTTCAAGGTTGTCTATGAAGATACAGCACCGATGTTCAACAACGTCCAGAATATGGCTCGGCTAAGAAGAGCACTGAAGGGCAACGCAAGAGAAGGTATCAAGAGTCTGCTGTACTCCGAAGCCTCTCCGATGGAAGTGATTCAAGCCCTCAGAAGAAGATATGGAAGACCAGATGCACTGGTGCTGGCAGAGTTGGACAAGGTCAAAACGTTGCCGAAGATTTCTGAAAACCCAAGGGACATATGCCTCTTCGCGAGCCAGATCAGCAACAGCGTAGCGGCAATAAAAGGATTGAAGAAACCACAGTACCTGCATTCACCTGAGATGGTGAAACAAATTATTGAGAAGATGCCTACAATCCTCAAGTTCCGATGGTACGACTTCATTGAAACAACAGAAGAAGGCGAGTTCTCCGACCTAACACTGGTGTCCAAGTTCCTGAACAGAGAAGCAGACAAGTGTGGAGCCTATGCATCAACAGAAGAGAAGAGCGGGTTCAGACGGACTCATCGACAAGCAACGCATTCAACTAAGGAAAAGGACTTCAAAGAAAAGGTTTCAAGATCAGAGAAGACTTGCCCCATGTGTGAGGGTGAACACTTCCTCGTCGGGTGTCAGAAGTTCCTGAAGGCGTCTGTGCAAGATCGATGGGCAATAGTGAAGAAAAAGCCGCGTTTGCTTCAAGTGTTTACAAGGGACACATCGGAAGGAGAGCTGCAAGAAGCCGTCGTGCAAGGAATGCAAGAGGTGGCATCATCATCTGCTGCACGTCGAGACAGAGAAAAGTTCCTCGGAAGAACAGAAGAACAAACCACAAGAAGTGGCGAGCATCATGGCATCGGTGAATGCGGTCAACAACGCAAGGGCATACCTGAAGATAATTCCGATAGAAATCTTCGGGTCAAAAGGATCAAAGAAGATATTGGCCCTCATGGATGAAGGGTCAACAGTGTCGCTGCTAGACCAGAAGGTAGCAGAAGAAATCGGCGCTCAAGGAAGAAAGGAGGAACTGGTCATCGAGACTGTTGGAGGCAGGCTGATAAGGAAGGAAGACTCTCAGATGCTTGACCTTACGGTGAAGGGGATTCATCAGAAGACCAAGAAGACCTTGAGAAGAGTCCGGACCATCGAAGAGTTGAAGCTTGCACCGCAGTTCCTAGAAAAGAAAAGGATAGAAGAGTGTCAACACTTGAAGAAGATTGCTGACTCTCTATATTATAAGGGGGAGTCACCACAGCTGCTCATCGGTCAAGACAACTGGGAGCTAATCGTGACTCAAGAAGTAAGAAGAGGGAAACCAGGACAACCAGTCGCTTCAAGAACAGGACTTGGATGGGTGCTCCACGGGTCAGACACTGGAGGCGCGAAAGTGGTGCACTTCTTAAAACACGTGTCTACATGTCAGCACGCCAGAAGAAGAGATGCATCAAGCCATCAAGGATCACTTCGCAATCGAAGCACTTGGAGTACTACCAAGAAGACCCACTACGGATTCAGAAGAAAGAGCACTCACCATCCTAGAGAAGACCTGCAGAAGACTAGAAGATGGTCGATTTGAAGCTGGACTTCTATGGAAAAATGAAGATGAACAGATGCCTGAAAGCTACACGTCTGCCAAGAACCGATTGTTCAACATTGAAAAGAAGATAGACAAAGACCCTCAGCTGAAGGCAGAATACAATAAGCAGATCCAGCATCTAATCGACAGCAAGTATGCAGAAGAAGCACCTGGTGGACAAGAAGATTCAAAGAAGACATGGTACCTCCCTCATTTCTCCGTGGTACATCCATTGAAGAAGAAAATAAGGATCGTCTTCGACGCTGCAGCCAAGTCTAAAGGGAGAAGCCTCAACGACGCTTTACTACCGGGACCAGACCTACTGCAATCGCTCTTCGGGGTATTACTGAGGTTCCGGCAAGGCCCGTTTGCAGTGGCAGCCGACATAAAGGAAATGTTCCTGCAAGTTCGCATCCGGCCAGAAGATAGAAAACAGCTTGAAGTTCCTGTGGCGAGGGGATCGTCGTGACGTAGCACCGAAGGAGTACAGAATGACATCAGTCATCTTCGGCGCGACATCATCTCCTAGCACAGCGATCTACGTGAAGAACCGGAACGCGGCGGACTACAAGAAGCAGTACCCAGAGGCAGCAAAGGCAATCGAGCTGA